TTTGGCAGTAAACGTGATTAATTTATGGTGTAATTCTGAACCTCTTGGCTTGCCATAATCCTAACCAAAAGTATATTACACACGGTACGTTTCCTATGCACATAAAAACAAATTTTCGCGTATAAATGGCACGATAAACACACTGCGTGCGAGACGCATTTAGTGTGACCGGGTTGATGTATCTATGGCAACCAAACGTCACTGGTGAGACAAACGTGCAACGAACGGACGGTCAGATTACGTTTTGGCAGGGGAAAAACTGATCAGAAAATGTAATGAAAATGTAACAGAAGTTGTAGAAATGGAGTAGAAAGTAGAATAATTGCTGCAAAATGTAACGAAGTAAAAGTAAAAAGTAGGCACTATTTATTCTACTTAAGTAAAGTAAAGATACGTGAAAAATGTACTTAAGTAAAGTAACAAAGTATTTGTACTTCGTTACATTCCACCACTGCTATGATATGATATGAGGAAAGGTGTACTTTGACAAGTCAAAGATGAATATTTTATGATAATTTTTACTTTTCACACCGTTTTAAAAATAAAGACAGTAGTATATAGTAGCTACTCATAACTGTATTATAATTGTATTTCATACGACTTTAATCGGCATTCTGTGACCAATTCGCGCTACGGTAGCATTTTTCGACAAGGCAGCAAAAATCGACAGAACACCGGACTCATTTATACTATATAGAACATAGTTTTTACGGTCACAAAGTATGTTCTTATTTAAATATAGCACCTATTCACATAGTATGCGATTTTGGACGCAGACAAAGTCCCGTTCTAGTCAATCATTTAATCCCTTAGAACTCATATTTGATCACCAAAATGACATATTTAAAAGGTTTTTCCTTGGAAGAAAGTTCTTCATGCCTTAAAATCGCTTGAATGTAACCCGACACCCTCGCCTCATTTAGTATGCACGGTTCTATGAATATGCAAATGAGCCCCGCCTCCACTCACTCAGCTCAGTTGACGGTCACACGTTGATCTGATTGGTTACAAGGTCGTTTGTGACGTCAGCGATATCAAACCGTGTTTTTGAGACAGTTTTAAGGAGGAAATACTCGACTTATGAACTTATTCATGTTGTGTCTTAAATCGTATTAAAACACCACATAAACAACATTAACAGCTGGATTTACACCACAGGGGGACTTTAAATGTCATGAGTTTAGTTATTAGTTTTTAACTAACCCACACACATTTGGTTATTGTTTTGGCACGTCTCTTTGATTGTGTGTGTTGACTGATGTTTGTTTTATACCTGTAGGAAGCCGCTACATTTGCAAAGGAGCAGGGCTTTGAGGCGAGTGAAACGCACTGTAATGCCGTATGTGTAATGTAGACTTGTGAATGAATGGACTGCTCCTATAACACACTCTCCCGGTGTTCCTGCAGACTGAAGACATCGCTGAGATCGCACGGAGGGTCCAGTCTCTGCCCAAAGTCAACAAGAACAGGCAGAGGATTGTGGTGTTCACTCAGGGCAGAGAGGACACGGTGGCCACCGTGGGTACGTCCGTCAAACCAATCAAACGCTCCGATTCAGATCAGTTATCTTCCATATGTTTTTTTTAAATTAATTGTCTTTGTGTTCTTTTAGGTGATGAAGTGAAAGTGTTTCCCGTTCTATACATCGACCAAAACGACATTGTGGACACGAATGGTGCTGGTGACGCTTTTGTGGGAGGTAAATGATCATTTTTGACAATTAAAGTTATTAAAGGAGTAGTTCACTTTTAAAAAATCTTTTGCTGATGATTTACTCGGCCCCATGTCATCCAAGATGTCCACGTCTTTCTTTCTTCAGTCGAAAAGAAGTGAAGGTTTTTGATGAAAACATTCCAGGATTTTCTCCATATAATGGACTTTAATGGGGTCCAAACGGTTCAAGGTCCAAAAGACAGTTTCAGTGCCGCTTTAAACGACACCAGACGATGAATAAGGGTCTTATCTAGGACACTTCGAGTCATGACTCGAAAAAAGATTCGTTCATTTTGATGAACGAGTTCGTACAGGAGAGTCACGAACGCGCATCACAGAACAGAGCAAGGCGAGCATTTGTGCTTATAAAACTTAAACTATTTAATTTATTTTTTAAATGAGCGCTCGTTTCACTAGATAAGACCCTTATTCATCGTCTGGAATCGTTTAAAGCGGCACTGAAACTGTCTTTTGGACCTTGAACCGTTTGGACCCCATTGAAGTCCATTATATGGAGAAAATCCTGGAATGTTTTCATCAAAAACTTTCATTTCTTTTTGACTGAAGAAAGAAAGACATGGACATCTTGGATGGCATGGGGGCGAGTAAATCATCAGCAAAAGTTTTTTTTTTTTTTTTTTTTAAGTGAACTACTCCTTTAACATTTTTTTTTTTTTGGAAGCTGTAAATAAGACAAGTATTATTGGAGTATGTTTTATGTTTTTCAACTTGCGTGTCCTACAGGATTCCTGTCAGAGCTGGTTCAGGAGAAGCCGTTGGAAGAGTGTATCCGCGCAGGACACTACGCCGCTAATGTCATCATCCGGCGAGTGGGCTGCACCTTCCCGGAGAAACCCGATTTCCCATGATCCCAACGTGGATCTTTCCATCTCATTCTCTTTCTTTCTGCTGAAGCTTCGGCAACACAACCTGCGTGCCTCTACATTTTGTTTACACACGTTTCCTGTTAAACGGGCATTTTTCAGGATTGCAACGACCACATGAGTTTGTGTTTTAGTACGGATTGTCTTTGATCTGTTTTTATGCTACATTGCAGTGTAATTCTATATTTAATCTATTAAAGATCCATGATATCCTTTTACATGAGTGCATTTATAAATAGTGGTAAATTAAATTAACAGAAGTATATAATGGAATTTTTGTCTTTCAGGTCTACATTTATTATGAAATGCCAAATTGTATCTTAAACGCACAATGTTTAAAAATGCATATAAGCTGTATCTGATGTGGGAAGATTTTTCCTCTTCTGGAACACGACCATTCAACTGACCAGTTTAATAAAAAGATTTTAACTGTGCCAGAGTTGTACATCTCTGTTTTGTGTGTGTGCATGAGTATGTGAGTGTGTGTGTGCGTGAGTGTGTATGCATGAGTGTGTCTGAGCATTTGAGTGTGTGTGCATGTGTATGTGTGTGTGTGTGTGTGTGTGTGTGCATGAGTGTGTGTGCTTATATTCCCGTAGTTCGATAGGTAGCTCTCTAAAACTTTCTGTTAGCATTCACACGTGAGTCGGCTCAGACAGATCTGATCTAATATGCTTTATTATAACCCTAAACCTACCTAAAACGTGAACACTATTCACTGGCTGCTGCTTTGCAAGCATAAATGTTGTTGGTCATGGTGTTTCAGTGTCTGCGGTTGTGTGTTTTGAGCTCTTCTCTGCTCCAGCAGGTGTGCATCCAGCTCTCTCAGCTGCTTCAGGAAGCCCCAGTTTGGGATGATGCGTCGCCGTCGTTTGACGTGGTCGATGGCGTCTACAACCGTCATGTTCTCGTAGATCATCAGGAAGGCCAGGAAGAGTGTGGCCGAGCGACTGCGGCCCATCACACAGTGAACTAGAAGCTTATCTGGAGAAATAAACAAGATGACTACACCTCAGCAGTTGTTGTAGTCCTTAAAAAATGATTTCTTTAAAAGCAAATATCTTCCTTTGCTTTGAACTTTGAGCGTTGTAACTTTGAAGGTGTTGTTTATGCTCACACAACAACATTACACACTAACAAAAGTTAGAAAAGTGAAATCATAATCAACTAGAGTCTCAGTGATACTAAAATAACTCACTCTGTGGGTTTGCGAGGGTCTGGTGGATGTGTTCAGCCACAGAATAGAAGTACTGGCTGAGGTTGAATGTGGGAACGTCCTCCGCTGTGATCCCGTAGTAATGGACGTCCATGTCTCTATAGTATTCAGCGCCCGTGTCCACACTGTTCCACTCGCCCTCCGCAGCGTTCAGGATGTGCGTGATGCCCATCGTCTTCAGCTTGTATCGGTCTTTAGCTGTCTCTCTTCACAGAAACAACAGCTTGAGTCTGGGGGCTGTTTTCAACTAAAAACGCAAAAGTATGCGTTTTGACCGTTCAATTACACTACAGCTGCATTTTGGGTGCATGAAAACGCAAACTTTTGAAAACGGCTTCAAAGTGCAAGTTTTTGATAACGATATTGTCTCCGTGGGTTATTTTGACAGAATGCGATTTAACGGAATTAACCCAAAAGTTAAAACTGTCATTTACTTATCCTCAAGTCAATGGGAACCGTCGTCAACTGTTTGCTTACCGATATCCTTCAAAATAACTCTTTTGTGTTCAGCAGAACAAACATACCGGGCCGATTGCATAAACCGCTTAGATAGTCTTGCAAGCTATAATCAAATTTTTTCTTTAAAAATGTTAATACATTTTTTAATGTCAGTTAACGTTAAAAAGCCTATCCCTAATCCCTTGACTAAAGTGGGTCATCATACTAGATCTTAAGACACTGTCTTATAGCTAACTAAGTTTATGCAACTGGCCCCATGTTTAGATTGGAATAGGGTGAGTAAATGATAACAGAAGTTTAATTTTTGGGTGCACTGTCCCTTTAAAAGCGCGTCTTAACAGCACGACCGTTGACAGTCGTTAATGAACGTTGTTCAAAATTTGAATGTGAACGGTCTCAAATTTGACTCTACCACATATCCTGGGTAAGTGTTTAGTACGCCAGTAGACTTAATTGGGTAAATGTTGATCCTGCATTATAATTAGCATCATCACAATAAGGTTAGTCAAATGAAACGACTCACTCGTTTCCGATGTAGACGTTGGGCCAGACCTCATTGACGTGTGTGTAAGCGACGCTGCCGTGCGTGAGGTGTTTCTCCAGCTCGTACCCGTTTGGTGTCTCATATTCCTCTTTCACTTCACTTACCTCAGACTTCACCACAAACTTCCTCCGTGAGGTCATTTTCAACCGCGCATTCGATTAAAACAGCATAAAACACATGTATTCAGGTTGGTTTGAGAGCTGAGTTGAGTCGACTGCTTTGGTCTGACTACAGGTCGGAGGTGTGTGTTGATTTCGGGGTTATTTTTAGAGGCCTGTTCCCTCACTAGAGAGGGCTGACCCCCGAAACACACGTGTTTGTTTGTTTGTGTGTGTGTGTGTGTGTGTGTGTGTGTGATTCACTTGATAACTGGCATCAACTGACCACACATTGAACCCAAATGAAAAACTGAAACCAAGAATCATGATTTTGGATTATTTTCCTTAAACCATAATTTTCCTACTCACTTGTTCTATATTATATTGTAAACTTCAATTCTATGATTTATTTACATTTTGTTAAATTTGTGTGAACACAGTTGCCTGTTAAATACTAATATCCCGTCTCTCCTCTGAGGTTTGAGTCGAGCTGACGGAGCTGTTGAAGGAATCCAGCGTTGGGAAGAATGTTTCGGTGGGAGCAAACCGCATCAATGGCTTCTGCGATGGTGAGTTTCTCGTATATCATCAGATACGCCAACACTAACGTCGCTGAACGACTCACTCCCCTGGCACAATGAACCAAGACCTTCCCCTCTCCTGGAAAACAAATAAAACCACCATCACACATGGTATGTCAAACAAATCTCAAAGACGACTGTAGAGTCACGGACGTGAAACACTATTCGCATGCTAGCCAATTTACTTTGTATTCAAGTAAAGCACTGTATTCGAAGTCACTGATGATGAATCATTCCCAACATGACCTGGAATGTGTGTTTCGGAAAGAATTAAAATTTCCTGATAATTTACTCGCCCCCACGTCATCCAAGATGTTCATGTCTTTCTTTCTTCAGTCGAAAAGAAATGAAAAGAAGGTTTTTGAGGAAAACATTCCAGGATTTTTTCTCCACTTCAATGGGGTCCAAATGGTTTGAATGTCCATTGCAGTTTCAAAGTCTCGACATGATCCCAGGCGAGGAATAAGGGCTTATTCAGCCAAACCAGCAGTCATTTTCTAAAAAAAAAAAATGTAAAAAATAAAATTATATACTTTTTAACCACAAATGCTTGTCTTGCACTAGCTCTGCGATGCGTAATCACGTTGAAAGGTCACGCGTGACGTTGGCAGAAGTACAGATCTTGTGTTTACAAAGCGAACGTGCAAGGAATAAGTCAAATGCCATTTCAAAAATAATAAAAATAAAAGGAAAAACAAAGATGTCGGATGATTTGGTGGAGAAAAATTGTTTTTCGCCTACATCGTGTGATCATACCTTTCCAACGTGATTACGTAAGGCATGAAGTCGTGGGCAAGACAAGCATTTGGGATTAAAAAGTATATGTTTATTTTTTTTAGAAAATGACAGATGCTTTCATTAGATAAGACCCTTATTCCTCGGCTGGGATCGTGTCGAGACTTTGAAACTGCAATGGACCTTCAAACCACTGGACCCCATTGAAGTCCATTATATGGAGAAAAAACAGAATGTTTTCATCAAAAACATTCATTTCTTTTCTACAGAAGAAAGAAAAACCTGAACATCTTGGATGACGTGGGGGTGAGTAAATTATCAGGACATTTTAATTCTGAAGTGAACTACTCCTTTAAATCCCTTATATCTCCCCACACGTTATTAAATATCACAGAAGCATGCTGTGTGTGTGTACACAATGCAAACTCTAAGTATGAAAGTGCACGATGTCTTACTTTTCTGGGACAGAGCTTTATGAATGAAACCGGCTGTGGGGTAGAAAAACGGTGTGATGTCGAAGTCTCTGTTGTCTGGTGCCTCAACGCCATGATACTCTACGCTCGAGTCCGAGTAGAAATCAGCTCCAGTGTCGATGTGAGTGGGTCCGTGTGCAGCGTTGACGACGTGACTGATTCCTAGACGGTGTAGAAGCGTCTTGTCTCTTGCTGTTGGACTGAGAGAATGCAGTAGCTCTCAAATCAAGCTTGACTCAACAATATCGGTCATGTGATGCATGTGAACTAATTGCATTGGTGATCAATCATGTCAAACAATGGCTAAATCTGATTAGCCGTTTATATAGTCCAAGAAGATTTATATAGTCCATGACTCGTGAATGTTCTGAATCTCAGAATGTTCACTAATATTTAATGAACATATATTCTTCCAGTAACGTAACTAGAATGATTTTCACATTTATCTGGTCTTTAGTAATGTAGCTCAAAAACTAATTTTATGCATTGTTCATGGAATGGGTTTATTCTGAAACGGTTTAGTTTGACATTTCTGTAATGTTTTTTAAATGTTGCTACTTTTTTTCTGAACATTCCGAGAAAATTCAAAAGTAACGTTCGCAAATTGAATGTTGTGTTAAAAGTAAAAATGGAATGTTCTGTTAAAACTTAAAAGTAAAAATGGAATGTTCTGTTAACTTAAAAGTAAAAATGGAATGTTCTGTTAAAAGTAAAAATGGAATCTTAAAACATTTTTAAAAACTGAATGTTTTGAACGTTCTGAAAACGTAAAAAATAACGTGAATGTAACGTTAGCAAAATGTTCTTAGAATATATTTGTATTATTTTATTCCCACTGATTATTTTATTCCCGCAGGTTTTGTACTGCATGTCAAAAATACTAGTCATTTATTTTCTTGTCAAACAATTTATAAGCTATTTATTTATTTATTTAGATTAATGCATACATTTAGCAGACACGTTTAACCGACGCAACTTACAGAAAAGGAACAAAAGCAATTTTTCAAAGAACTAACAATATCCATAACACACAGTGCCAGGTTTATTAGACACTAGATTAGGAAACCGACTGCCATAATGAAAGATGAAAGATCATTTAGCGCACCTCAAAAGATTAGAAGTGTCTCGTTCGAGCATTGTGGAGTAATACGTACGCATCACTGATGTAGATGTTAGGCCAGACTTCATTAAAAGCGCCGCAGGGTCGTCGGTTCTTTAGCAGAAGGGTCAAAAGGTCACAGATGGGCGGAGTCTCGTATCCAACATCCTGTGTGCTCATACTTTGAAATAAAAGAGCTTGATGTAAGATAAATATACACGTCAATGCATTGTATTAAAGTGTTTTTGCCTTTCTGTTGTTACTGAACTCACGTTGTGTTTCTCTATGGTTCTTCTGCCGGCTCCGTCATCTACGTAGAGCCGCGTTTGTGTGATGCAGTAAGTGATACGTGTCTCTATTTCTGCTTATTAGCGTGTCAAAGTGGTAAATATAGATGAGAGACACAGCTGAGAATCTTCCAGAGTTCATTTAGGTAGATGGTACATATTAAATTTGTTCTTTTAATAACATATACAGGTGAAACTCGAAAAATTAGAATATGGTGCAAAAGTTCATGTATTTCAGTAATTCAAATCAAAAGGTGAAACTCATATATTTAGTATATGTAACTATATACATATGCATGATTATACTTTTCAGAGGGCCGACATTTCTGTAAATCTTTTTTTTTTTATAGATTTCATGTAATATTCAAATTTTCTGAGATTTTGAATTTGGGGTTTTCATAAGCTGTGAGACATCATCAACAAAATCATAACTTTTGCACAATATTCTAATTTTCCGAGTTTCACCTGTATTTGGTCAAATGTATTGAAGTCATTATGAAATCAAATTTAATTTCAGGATGACTTATATATTTTAACATTTTTATATATTAAATATATGCATATATATATATATATATATATATATATATATATATATATATATATATATATTCATAAATTTCAATATATTAAATATTTTTTTTATGAACTCACATTCCTGGTCTTATCTTCATAACCTTTCATAATGAAGTATATTCCTTGTGGACTGACTGATGTTCATGAATGAATCCCTTTCGTTTTCAACCCCATTTGTTGTTTGGAAAGCCTAGTGTTTTTAACCTGTGAATCTATTACTTTATAGTGACTCTGAAGATTAAGCAGGAATAGAATATATTTCGATCACATGTAACAACTTTTTAACACTTTTTTTACAACTTTTTAACAAAAAAACATTTTAATTGAGAAATTAAATCCTGTATCAATCATGTAATTCCATCATATGTGTGTCAGGCGATTTCTGAAGCATGCATTTTTGTCATAACTGATGGGTATCTTTATGCATATAGCTCTGTTTCTGTCCCTATAGTGTATTTCTGATCAGGAAACATGACGTGAGTGTGTTGGTCCAGTGTTAGAGGGCAGTGCTCTGGAAGTGCAGTTTTTTGTCCAGTTCTCGCAGTTGTTCAATGAAGCCGGAGTTTGGGCAGATATTCCTGTGTTGTGCGACGGCTTTAATGGCTTCCACCAGCGTCATGTCCTCGTGGATCATCAGATACGCCAATACCAGCGACGACGAGCGGCTCAGGCCCATCGCGCAGTGCACAAGCACCTTACCTTGGAAAAACAAACAATAGAAATGTTTACAAACTACATTTTTTTAGGAATTCTGAATTTTTACAAAAACATGTCTTGATCACATTTCACTCACAAAATGAAAATTTAATTTTTTTTTTTTCATTATTTTTTAAATTATATTTTGCATAAAGAAAAAAATAATAGGTCGATTTTTATGTTTTGCATTTTGACATTGTCTATTAAGCACATGTTCCTCTTTCAAATTCTAATATGGAGCCATAATAAAATTTTTTTTTTTTTTAAATCACCATTGTGCATAAGAATTGCTCAATAGGTAAACATAAAATAATATCATTATGCAAAAAAAAATCTTATAATTATTGCAAATTGCCATTGTGCATAATGAGAATTCCTTCATGAAAGTAATATCATGATGCAAAAAATCTTAATGGTCCTAAAAACTTCATGTCAAATATAATTTAATTTTACAGTGAATTCTGCATTTGTTTAGCTGATGTTTTTCAGTCATCAGTGTGTTTCCTCTCCTCACCTCCAGGGGTGCTCATGGCACTCTTGATGAACTTGGCAGCGGAGTAGAAGAAGGGGCTCAAGTCAAATGAGGGCATATCAAACGCCTCCACGCCATGATATGTGATTTTAGTGTCTCTGTAGTAACTGGCCCCTGTGTTAACGTTGAACTTCCCGTGAGCGGCGTTCAGCACGTACGTGATGTTCAGAGACTGTAGCATGTGTTTGTCCTTCGCTGCGTACCTGATTGAGATTCAATTAAACACAGACAGACACTTCTTCTTTTTCTAAATTCCCTGAGTGAATGTATACTAAACAGTCTCTTTCTTTTGAATGTGAGAGATTTGGCTCATACTAACACAACCCATCAACCTAGTTTCCCCAAAAGTCGACTCCTGAGTTTCTTACATGTCTCCGATGTATATTCCAGGTCTGACCTCATCAAGATGGCCGCTGGTTCCAGGTTTGACCCACAGAAGTCTCTGGAGGTCAGCGGCATCCGGCGTCTCGTACCGGCCGTCTCCACCGGTGCGTGGCATATCGGCCCGCTTTACACCCGTCCTGCAAGAACTGAACAGCCTTTGGTCTGTTCGAACCCAAAAATGATCTACAAAAAGGTAAAACAAACACCACTAGTCCATATGACTCTCGTCCTATTTGAGGAAGAGATTCATTTAAGTAGTAATTTTCATGCAATTTTATACATAGAATGTCCTGAGGACAGAAATGTCACCCTTTCGGTGGAATGACTCAACTAGCCATTTATCTGGTCTTTAGAAATGTAGCACAAAAACTATTTTTATGCATTGTTCATGGAATGTGTTTATTCTGAAACGGTTTAGTTTGACATTTGTGTAACGTTTTTTAAATGTTGCTACTTTTTTTCTGAACATTCCGAGAAAATTCAAAAGTAACGTTCGCAAAAGTAAAATGGAATGTTAAAACATTTAAAAAAACTGGATGTTTTGAACGTTCTGAAAACATAAAAAATAACGTAAATGTAACGTTAGCAAAATGTTCTTAGTTATGATTATTTATATTATTATGATATATTTGTATTATTATTTTATTATTCATTTAAGTAGTAATTTGTTGAAAACAATAGCTCTCCAAAGTCATTGTTACAAGCCACCATCGACACCAAGCACCTTTGATTCTCTTGGATCTCGATCACAACATGAACGTTTGACTAGCACAAATACAGGAGAATAAACTTTAATGATGCTTTATTATGCTGTTTTTGACCTTTTCAGAGTTTAATATCTCACTGAATGCTTTGATTAAATGGGAAACACCAGCACAGATATTCGAAACTCCTATTTTATGTTCCATGGAAAACAACATGAAGGTACGTTTTCATTTTTATTAGAATACTTATTTTAAGCTGAAGGATTGAATCAAATTATTATCATCAAGTTTTACCACTGTACAATGGAAAATTCAACTTTAAGGACATCTGATAATTAATAACTGATATTAAGGCTGCTAGTTGGTGAGTTTTTAGGTCTGTTTGATACTCAAAAGCATAATTTTTAACAATTGTTTTGTGCAAAACATTACACAAAGTATTAGCAATGCATTATGAATGATGTGACATTTTATTATGGTATTAGTTAGTTAGTTTGTCTCACCCTCAAATTAAATAAAGTGTTACAAATCACTTTAATATTAAACATTTCAATACTGCAGAAAATGTTTGTTAACTACATTAATTACATTAACTAACAATGAACAATCCTTCTACAGCATTTATCAATCTTAGTTAACTAATTTACTAATACATTATTAAAATCAAATGTTGTATCTATTAATTAATGCACTGCGAACTAACATGATCATGTTTATTAACTAACATTAACAAAGATTAATAAATGCTGTTGACTGTTACCAAATTTCCATCTTGTCTTGTGTTTCATTAAATTATCTCAACATTCTTAAATCGATAGACTTTTACTTAAGAAACAAGCTGACAAGATAAAATCTAATAATAAATAAATGACTTTAATAAATAATAAAGTGACTTTAAGACAAAAACAAGCATCTGCCAATGGGGCAAGAAATGCTAAACTCATTTTTACTTTGAATAAAGCTTATTTTCTGACCCCATTACCAGATATTATTTGCTTCTTTAAACTTTAGTATAAACTTAATAAATTTGAGACATTTTTCAGAAAACAAGACTCAATCTCTTATGTCATTCAAGGTGAAAAGTTGACTAACTTGTTCATATTCTTCACATTGTGTAACTTATCAAGTTAAAGTGCCATTATAAGTATGCTTATGATCAAATAACAGTTTACACATTGTAAATCAAATATTTATCCATATACCTCATTATAACCATTGCATATGTGCCACTAGCCGTATATACTCAAGATAATGCATTTGAATGAATCTAAAACACATTTTCAAGCACAAACAGACTCACAGTGTGTTGAGGAACCGCTCGTCAGCGTGTATGCATGCACACGTATGTCAGGTTCACGCTGATGACTTCATCTATTTATATATATATATATGTATATATAATCTGATTCAGGCTGCTCTAAACACTCTCTCTTCAGGGTTCCTGATCTAAAAGCAACAGGGAGTGGATGAAATCATAAAAGATCATCTCTGTAATATCACACTGATTTTAACTAATACAGACAGAGGGACGTTTCTGCTTATTTCCACACACTGCAGTCGCCCTCGTCTGTGTCCGAGTAACAGCGTCTTAAATTAGACAACCTCATTCCCACAGCGGCGAGTTAAAAATACACACGTTCTCTGTTCTCGTCATCTAGACTAGAGTTTCACAGTCAACAGTGAGTTCATTTGCTTTGCTGCACAGCTGCTTTTTATTTATAATAACCTGTTTATTTCATTAAAAAATGTATATATTTCAAAGAATCAAAGTGTACAGAACTATTCAGAAAGAATATGTTCTGAAATGAACTCAAGATTGGCTTTATTTACTTTAATGTATGTTGGTGTATTGTGAACAATTAATGACATTTGCAACATATTAACACTATAGTTGTTGAAAAGATTGAGGTCGGTAAGATTTGTTTGATTTTGAAAAAATAATACTTTTATTCAGCAATTGTTCGGAAGTGACAGTAAAGACATTTATACTGTTACACAAGATTAAACTTTCTATTCATCAAAGAATCCTGAAAAATGTTTCACAGTTTCCACAAAAAAAAAAAAAAAAAAAATAGCACCACTGTTTTCAACATTATTAATAATCATAAATCTTTCCTGAGCATCAGATCCTCATATTAGAGTGATTTCTGAAGGGTCATGTGACACTGAAGACTGGAGTAATGATGCTGAAAATAAAATTCAGCTTTGATCACAGGAACAAATGACATTTTTAAAAAAATATTTTAAAAAAGTAATTTTGAACCGAAATATTATTTACTGTTTTACTGTATTTTTCATAAAATACAGTGAGCAGAAGGGACTTTAAAACAATAAAACTGCTGACTTTGAAATTGCTGACCCCTAAACATTTGAACGGCAGTGAATGTCACATTTTTATGATCCTGTGGTGTGTTGGTCCTGTTGTGTGTGTGTGATGGTCTAGAGTTCGCTGTACATAGAGGTAGTGTGTTGTGTTTGTCTGAGCGTGAATTTAAGAGTGAGTGTATATTTACAAAACGCCCTTTAAAATAATCCCTTGAACATTTCACTATCTCTATAATACACTTATACTCTCTAAAATGCATGTTTGCATATATTATGAAGTGCATGTTCAAGCCTTTTTAAGATAAATATGGATGTTTAGAAAACGGTTAGTTCCAATCCTTGATTCTGATTGGTCAATAGCTGTGCTTTATTCATGATAAAACACGGCTATGACCGCTTCACCCAACGGTTCTGTGTATCACTGCGCAACACTGCAGTTCCTATGTAGTGTTTTTTTTTTATTACATATTACACATTGGAGTGTTGTTGCTGTTCATGGTCAGGGACTATTTTTTCTAGCGGAAGGACGGCTTTTAGTGATTTTACTTCATGAAAGTTGCACTAATACATATTTTTTTTTACTTTAATACTTTTATTGTGTGGTAACCGTTTTATAAAAGCAATAAGGCACTCGAGGCAAGTGAGTAAGTAACGGCTGAAGGGGTTACTCCGCTCCGAGTCGAGCCTAACAACGCCCTTCGGCCGATACTTATTCACAATACAGCACAGCCTCTCCTACCTTATTGCTTACATATATATAATTTTTGACTGCTGTGATAGTCCATTTTAATTAGATTCTTGCATTATGTAGCTTCACCCACAGTCAAATCTCATTGGTCCAAATTCCAGCTCGTCATTATGTAAGGGTTAATTAATCCATTAATACACCTCGATGGGCATTAACCCGCTTATACTATGGTCACTTGCCAAATAACACATTTTTAAAACATTAGTTTATATTTTAATTCTAAAGTTTTTACAAACAATAACTTGGTTTCCCTGGCAATTTAGCAACCGGAGATTGTTTATAGTCCGCTCAGCTTCAGTTTAGCTAACTTACGAGCCAGAAAGTTAACGATAAAGCCATGGGCGTTACACTTTCATTTTTTTTTTAAACCTATAATTAAAACACGCAGGTAGGCATATATTATAATGGCTCACTAGATGTTTGTTTTGATATAATACTTTGTAAACGGATACTTTGACTGCCTGTTGCTATGGTTACTCACAGCTGTTGCTATGGTTACTCACAGCTGTAGCCACCAGCGCATTTATTTATTAATTTCGAACGGTAAACAGTCAGTTTCACCAGAACTCCTTTACTAGGTGTCCATTATCTTTTTAATGGACACCCTGCAGCCAATCAGAATCGAGTATTCACCCAGATCACGATATAATGCATATTAATTCGGTCGATAGCATTTATGTTCTCTTGTTCAGTGCAGAGAGACAAATCACTTGTCGCGTCTCCGGCCTGGTTAGGACGTGGTGTTATGATCGTTCATCATGTGGTTGTTGGTTCATAGCAGAACACATCTCCTGTGTTTCCTCTTCCTCTGCAGGTCCAGATCCAGGAGCAGAGCCAGGAAGTTTCTGTTGGGATAAATGGCTCGTTTCTGGACGATACGCCGTAAGGCCGTGTGCAGAGGCATGTCATGATAGAGCATCAGGTACGCCAGCACTAGTGATGAGGAGCGGCTCATTCCCATGATGCAGTGCACCAGAACTTTCCCTGTAAGGAAGAGATAAGATACAACATACAATAACAATGCCAAAATTATGGACAGGACTTGCAATTTTCTACCAATTTTCACCGGGTGATGTGTTTTGTATCAGTATGTTTGACCTGAATGTGTTTATTATGTACACATATTCCATTCATTTTTGTAAAAAATCATTATTTGATATTGTTGCCGTATTTAGCACAATTTTAGACAGGCTGCATCAGTTACAGAAGCAGCCGAATGTCTAACTAAATAGCTATTTGTCTATTGGTTAACACGTATAACCTACATGATGTCACCCGAAAACAAAAGTTTTTACAGAGGCGGAGCAAGTTTGCAAGTTACTACATATATATGAAAGATTATTACATGCACTGATTAATTACACACAGTAAGTCTAGGTACACGTGTTTAGAAAGTAATTAGGTTTGATGTTGATTTGATTGGCCCTTGCACATTTTTTTCGTTATGTTAAAAAATAAATGCAACCTCATGTTATGTCAATCATGTGGAAGCTTGTTTCCGCCACTGAATGAAAAATAAAAAAGGTAATTGCGACTTTTTATCTCACAATTCTGACTTTTTTTTCTCAGAATTGCGAGTTATAAAGTCAGAATTGCGTGATATAAAGTCAGAATTGCGTGATATAAAGTCAGAATTGCGTGATATAAAGGTGCAATTGTGTGTTACAAAGACAGAATTGTGAGATATAAAGTTAGAATTGCGTGATATAAAGTTGCAATTGCGTGTTGTAAAGTCAGAATTGTGAAATTTAAACTATTCTGAGGGGGAAAACAAGTTAGTCTTTTTTCCCCCTTAGATAACTCTGATAACTCTGATAACTCGCAATTGCGAGTTTATATCTCACAATTGTGAGAAAAGATGTCAGAATGTTGAGATATAAACTCACAATTATGTGTTATGAAGTCAGAATTGCAAAATTTAAAATCGCAATTGTGAGAAAAAAAGTCAACAATTGTGAATAAAAAGTCGCAATTCTGTCTTTTTTTCTCGCAATTGCGACAATTCTGACTTCATATCTCGCAATTGTGAGATAAAAAGTCGCAATTATTTATTTATTTATTGTTATTGAATGGCGGAAACAAGCTTCCATATAATCACGCTGGCACACTGCCTCCAAAATTATAAAATCATTAAAAAATGGATCGGGTTTGATTTTTTTTTTCTTGCGTTTTTCGCATCTTTAGCAAGCGGTTTGAATGGGGTTTTGACAATTCAGAGCTCAGTGTGCAAGCGTGATTGACATAACGTGAGGTCGTATTTATTTTTTAACGTGCAAAAATTTTGTAAGTGAATTTCGGACTGTGCAAGGGCCTTGAGTGAATTCTTCAAGGATTTCTTACCATCAGGAGAGTTGAGAGCTTTGTGAATAAAATCTGCTGCCGGTTTGAAGTAAACATCCAAATCGAAGTGCGTAGAGTCGTCAGCGGGGATACCGCAGTACACAAAACTCGTGCCGTAGTAGTTCTGGTCCCCGATGCTTCCTCTCTTGGAGTGAGCGGCGTTCAGAATATGAGTGATGCCGAGGTTCTGCAGGGCGCTTCGGTTCTGCGCTATTCCTCTGACGGGACAAGATTATACATAATACAGCTTAAAACTGACCTGGTTTACTTTCTTTACTCTCTTAACAAGTTTTTTGTTTTTGTTTTGCAGCAATGCCATTTTTCGTTCCTCAAAGAACCTTTCAGTGATTTTTACTTAGTGTGAAGAACAATTGAATAATCTAAAGAGTCACTATATAGATGTTGATTGATTGATTGATTTTATTTGACCACTTAAATAAATAAAAAAAAAATATGAAACAGTATTTTGTCATATATTAAAAATACATAAATAGTCAGAGATGACACAAAAAAGCCTAAATACTTATTTCCAATCTATAATCTTATATGGATTTATATAATTTTTATATAGAACATTTTGTGGAATGAAAAGGTTCTTAATGTAACCATCGATATTTATAAAGAATCTTTATTTTTAAGAATGTAAGGAAGAGTTCAACCATGTTTCACCTTCATTTTAGTATAAAACAGCAATTTTTTCGCCATCCAATCAACAGCCGATGGACAAATTTAAGTCCCGCCTTTTTTACCTTATTGAATATCCTGTTTCACTCAGAAATGCATCAGTTTATGGATGAAAAATGTTTTGGGGAAAGTAGTTTGAAGTTGACCTAAACAGTTCAGTTCAAGATTAATATTGTGTATATCATGGGAGTATGAAGAATGATAAACAGTAGTGGCCAAAAGTGATTTAGGAAAACTGATCTTCACTCTTTATTCAAATATATTTAAAAATGCATTAAAGCAAATTGCACAGTTGTGCTTGGTGTTGATTTGTTTTATTTGTGATCAAATGCAAATTGTGCAACAACTTTTAGCCCGGCTTTCATACGTTATGAACACATACAAAAAAAAAGTACAACAACTGATAATGTTGTAGTCAATGTGTGCTTTCAGCTTCTTGTTTTTTGCCATTTTTTTGCATAGCAAGATAAAATCTGCAGCTGTACTTTTTTGCTATAGCTTTACTTTTTTAGCCAAATCATTTTTCAGATAAATACCTTAAGCAAGTTTAGTGTTTTGTTCTTCCCTTAAAAACATTTAAAACAAAAATTTCCTTATATATTCATAGTTTAATCAAACTTTGTAGGGTCAAAAACAAACAACAGTTTGACCACTACTGTATAAAGGTACATCTCAATGTGTAGCTCAATGTCTTGTGAAGTCAGCCGATGACATTTAAAACAGTATTAATATGATTTCTAGAGACTCGAGAGATTCAGGCGTTAAGCAGCTTATACTTACACATTTCCGATGTACAGGTTTGGCCAGACCTCATCGATTTGGTGCAAGTTTAACTTACACGAGTTCAAAACTTTCTCCAGGTCCTTGACTGACAGATACTCTTTCCTGCTATATTTACGGGCCATCATTTCTTTCCTGAATTATCCGCTAGATAGATGAAGACAGTGTGTTTATAAAGATCCGGCGCTTCGGACTCGAGGCTCTCTGACTGATCCACCACAACAGCTGTTACCCAATTTAGTGCCTTAGTGCGCAGATAGTCTTACTCACAGAGATATGTACACACACACGTACAAAATTGACTTGGATAACCTGATTATCTGATGCTTATGCCTTTTTTGTTCATAGTTTATAGTCACCACATCTGCCAAGCCCCAGAAATGCATTTAAAATTGCATTTAAAGGACCATAAAGTGTCAAGAATTTAAATCAATGTTCAGTGATAATCTTTTACTAAAGGTCAGAAATCTTTTTCACATTTGCATTCAGCTAAATTTAAAAACTGGTGCATTGGAAATCGTACACAAAAATTTAAATATCGTGCAAAAGTTCATTTATTTCAGTAATTCAACTTAAAAGGTGAAACTAATTTATTATATAGACTCATTGCATGCAAAGTGAGATATTTCAAGCCTTTATTTGTTATCATTTTGATTATGGTTTGGCTTACAGCTATGAAAAACTAAAATATTCTAATCATTTTCATAAGATTTTCATAAGATTTCATAGGTTTTCATAAACTGTAGTCAAAATGTTGACAAATAAAGCTAGAAATATCTCAGTTTGCATGTAATTAGTCTATATAATTAGTCTAAATAATTAGTTTCACCTTTTAAGTGGAATTACTGAAATAATGAACTTTTGCACGATATTCGAGTTTCACCTGTTCTGTAAGATCTTTTTGGAAATTAACAGACACTATAAGCAGCATGAAGATTTACAGATCTACTTCTGTTGTTTCCCACAGATAAAATACCAACGACAGGAGGGTGAGTAAATGATGACCGAATTTTTATTGAATTATGATTGAGTGAAGGAGAAGCATAGGCTGCTATTCAGATTTGCCAGGTAAAAATAAATAAATAAATAAATAAAATTAAATTAAATAAATAAAAGTGACAACTGTTGACAAATATAACAAAAACACCCCAAAACACAAAACTAACAAAAAATAATTATAATTGAAAACTTTTAGGGACCTTTTATTATTTTTCACAGTAAATGATGCTTACAATGCTCATTGTACTCTAAAAGTACATGTATTATATTATATATAATTTATTAATCATCTAAATTACAACTAATAATTGAATATCTAATTTCACTGTGAATTCTAAAGTAATTCATTAGATTTTACTTCTAAAAACTCACTGAAAAAATTGCTTTTCTTTTGCAAGTTTTTCCATGCAGATTTTTTTTTAAAGTTTAATCTAGTTAAGTAAAATTAACAAATGAAAACTGGCCAGTTAAAGTTGGTTGAGTAATTTCTACTTAGCAATACGCTGTTTCAACATTTTACTTTGACAATATAACACTGAAAAAAGCCATGTTTTTACCGTGTATGCTTTAGAACAAATAAATAACATATCTATTGTAGACATATATCTACACAATTGAAATAATGTGGTACCCAGCCGAAACAGAGATATGAATACTTGCTACCCAATAATGCCAACATCCGTCAGATCATTTTTGAGTGTGAATGTCATTTTAAGTAGAAAATAAACTCCAGATGTCACAAAACAGCAAGTTAATAAACCTAACAACCAAAGCAATGATAAAACAGTGAACATACAGTGGAGAAAAAAGCAATCTTATAAATTATTCATGGTGGGAATACCAGTATCAGAAAGTTGAATAAGTTTAACGTTAATATTTATGCATTCATTTCTACAATATATACTTAAAAACATATTCAGGTAGAAGTTTTTTTCTGCAGTGTTTCCTTCACCACAGAGTCATGAGAGTTGATAATACATTTAAAGTCACAGACAGATGTTGTTTCCAGACCAGCGTCACTTCATACAGCGCAGACTCGCATCGAGGGCCCGCAGCTGTTTGAGAAAGCCTCGGTTCGGGAAGATCCAGCGGTGCTGTTTGACCGTTTTAATAGCGTCCAGGAGGGAAAGCCTCTGGTGTATCATGAGATAAGCCAGAACCAGAGAGGCCGAGCGACTCACTCCCACCGCACAGTGAACCAAAACACGTTCTGCAGCAAAGACCAGAGAACACAAACTGTGTAAAACTATAATAAAATAAGATGAATTATACAACCCAGTCTCATCCAAAGACGTCATATAACTGACGTTTTGGGACGTCTTTTGACCATACATCAATATTCGCCTTTTTAGGGCCCCCTTAAACGTCGGTAGATGAGGTTATGGGATCCTAACTCTACCCCATACCTAAACCTAACCCTAAACCTAACCCGTCACCTAACTGACGTTAAAGGTAAAGCGTCAGTTGTATGACGGCCCGGGATCGCCATCTACCGTCGTTTAAGGGGGCCCTAAAAAGGCGGATATTGACGGATGGTCAAAATACGTCCCAAAACGTCAGTTATATGACTTTTTGGGATGAGACTGTGTTAAATTATAACAGATGAAGTATAAGTCGGAATATTTTTTTTTTGGCTTTCGCGTGCACTTAGTAAGGATCCTACGCACAGTTTTATAAATGAGACCCCTGGACTCAATTTGACCAATTTGAACATTTGGCGAGACCAATGACCAAGTGCGAGACAGTAGAAAAACGTCTCGAGTTCGGACTTGAGGACTACAGCAAATATGATACAGTAGTCTTTACAGGGTACCGCATCATCTTAGCTCGGTCAATCTGTCTGAGACTCAGCAGGTTTTACCTCCTGGAGAACCGAGAACCTCCTTGATATAATCAGCGCAGGGGTGGAAATACACCGACAGGTTGAACGATGGCGAATCTTCTGCTGCGACTCCGTAATACTCGACCTTTGACCCGTAGAACTGGTGGCTGCCCTGGCAGTGCATGTGTCCGTGGGCGGCGTTCAGGACTCGAGTGATGCCCAACTTCCACAGACTGAACCGGTCATTGGCCACAGACCTGGAGATCAGGAACACACGCTGTTAAAATGTCAGAAGTAGATCTCTGGGTAAATTCATGACGCCATCAGGAGAAATTAATTTTTACGTTTGTAAGAACATTTTGCAAGTTGGATTTTTTTACTTTGTGGCTATTATGGGCAAAAAAATGATGTCTTTGGGGGTTTTTTTTCTATATTTTGGGCATTATATGATTTGTGGGCACTATATGGATTGGATTTGAATGTGCAAAACCAAATATTCTCACTGAGATACAAGAACACACACACATTTTCATTCACATACTCGTTACATGCTAAGTGAGATATTTTTAAGCCTTCATTTGTAATTAATTTGGTGACTATGGCTTACAGCTTATGAAAACCCCAAATTCAAAATTAGAATATTGTGAAAAGGTTTTCATAAGCTTTAATCCATATCAAATTTTAACAAATAAAGGCTTGAAATATCTCACTTTGTATGTAATGAGTCTATATATTAGTTTCACCTTTCCAGTTGAATTACTGAAATAAACTTTTGCATAATATTACAATTTTTAGAGTTTCACCTGTGTATGTATGCATGTGTGTGTGTATATATATATATATATATATATATATATATGAAGAGTTCAGATGCAAAAGCCTCTAAATGCCATTTGAAATTTTCTTCTTTAATGATAATTTTTATCAAACTTGTATATTTAAGTTCAGTAATTTCACTTAAATGGCAATGATAATTACCTATTAATTGTTATTTAAGTGAAATTACTGAACTTAAATATACAAGTTTGATAAAAATCATCATTAAAGAAGAAAATTTCAAATGGCATTTAGAGGCTTTTGCATCTGAACTCTTCATATATATATATAATATATATATAGAAATTTGAATATTATGCAAAATTATTACAAAAGAAGGCTTGAAATATCTCACTAAGCATGTAATGAGTCTATATAATATATTAGTTTCACCTTTTAAGTTGATTTACTGAAATAAATTAACTTCTATCTATCTATTAAATTAGTTTTTACTTTTGTATTTTTAATTTTTAGTAATATTTTTTAGTAAAGTTTTAGTATTCTTGTGTGTTTTTGTCATTTTTATTAGTTTTTTTTTTTAATATGTCTACATAGTTTATAGTTATTTTAGTACATAATTGCCTGGTTTCACAGACAGGGCTTAGATTAAGGCCTTAGTTCAATTAAGACATTTAAGTAGCTTTTATATACTGGTGTGAATCTTGCAACAAAACAACAACACCAACATATTTTAAGTACCTTTCTACGGAGGCGTATTGCATTTACTTGAAGAAAAAAAAATCTACTCTGTTTTTCTGAATTAACGAGTTAATTTTTCATGAGAAAAAAAAATTGCTCTGTTTTTCTGAATTAATGAGTTAATTTTTCATGAGAAAAAAGGTTTTTGCTCTGTTTTTCTGAATTAATGAGTTAATTTTTCATGAGAAAAAAAAATATTTTTCTCTGTTTTTCTGAATTAATGAGTTAATTTTTCATGGATTTTTTTTTGCTCTGTTTTTCTGAATTAACAAGTTATTTTTTCATGGAATTTTTTTTTTGCTCTGTTTTTCTGAATTAACGAGTTAATTCAGAAAAAACAGAGCAAAAACTTTTTTTCTCACGAAAAATTAACTCATTAATTCAGAAAAACAGAGAAAAAAAATTTTCTCATGAAAAATTAACTCATTAATTCAGAAAAACAGAGCAAAAAAAAAATTCTCATGAAAAATTAACTCGTTAATTCAGAAAAACAGAGAAAAAATTTTTTTCTCATGAAAAATTAATTCATTAATTCAGAAAAACAGAGCAATTTTTTTTCTCATGAAAAATTAACTCATTAATTCAGAAAAATAGAGTAGATTTTTTTTTCTTCATGTGAATGCAATACGCCTCCGTACCTTTCAGTTAGAACAGCTCAAACATGCATTTTAGTCTGAGACTAGCTTAAGTCTCGTCTGTGAAACTGGGGGCAATTTAGACTAAATGAAAACAATATTGGTTTGGCTTTCTTTATTTCATTTAAAGTAATGAAAGTGTTGTTAGTTTATGTCCAGTTCACTGTCTATAATAACCCTGTGACTCACATATCACCCAGGAAAAGGTTGGGCCAGACTTCATCCGCATGATTTCCACTCCTCTTTCCTGCAAACAGGACTTTCTCCAGTTCCCTAACGGAGGGCGTTTCACAGACCTCATCCATTACACTCACACACACTCATCGTGGATCTGTGTGTGAGATGAGCACGACTACACCCTCTGTGTCTCTCTGGTAAGATTTGCATGTCATATCTGCTGCTGTCCAATATGAGTTTATGTGAAGTGACAGGAGCAGGTGCAGCTGCTAATCTAAAACTGAACCAGACTCAACTACCTAGCAACCATTTTAGCAATGCTCAAGTGTCCACCCTAGCAACTACACCTTGGCATTATAACATGTACCAAACATATCAGGAACGACGGAGTGCTTTACATAAATAAATAAATAAATAAATAAATAAATAAATACAGATAATTCAATTCAATTAATTAAAGTCAGAGGGCTCATTAGAAAACTGTGCTGGATGGTGTAATTCCACATGTTGGCCAGAAGATTTCACTGTGTGTCACAACGGAAGTGACCTCATCTCCAGTATTTACACACACACACACTCACGATAACACACATCCACTGCTGTCATATCGACTGCACCTCCAGCTGGGTCACGGCGCAATGATTCACCTCAGATGTCCCGATAGAGCGACATTTAGGAGATTCATCGCAATTCGCAGTGAATAAATCTGATGTTTAACGTAAGTGAAGCGCGTAGGCTAAGCGCTAGCATGCTAACACACTCACAAGCATCTGAAATATCCTCCTAATACTGTCATGTATTGTAATAGGCGTATGAACCCATTTTCAGGGTTATGCTTGATTTTATTATCTGTTTATTATTGCTGTGATAGGTTAAATTGGTGCGGATAAGAAATGCTAGTCAAGATATTTTACATATTTTAAGTGTCGCACTGCAAATTTGTGTCATTTGCTGATGTTGAAGATTGATGATATATGCCTCGTTTACCACAGACAGGTAGCCTACTAGGTGTACAGCTCACTAGGTTTTGTGTCACAGTCAGTGTTATCCTGACAGGTCCAAAGGGTGGGATTGTACCTGTATGGCAGGTACGGAGTCCTTTTCCTTATCAACAAGCTTCCCTGTGTCTGGTATTGATTAAAGTCCTCAGTGTGATAAGCTGAGAGACATAATTATACCTGAGGTACTTTACTCGAATTACTTCACTTTTATTTTCTGATAACATGGTATTATTTCTCTCTGCTGCTGAGGGGCGTGGCGTCGTGTGGGTGTGGCTAGCTGTTGGCTTGACCTTGTTGGGCGTGGCCGCCACTGTGATATTTTTGAAGAAATAACGTAGTCGATGTGGACAAATATATATTTTAAAAATTGTCTAATTTTCCTTGGATGATTAGTAGTCTAATCAGTCCTATATTGAAGAATGTTTTACTATTAGACTGACGTCGATCAGTCGTGTTTTAAAGAGACATTTACATAAAAGGTCAATAATTTTATCCCTTAAAACTAATCTAAATGACATATTTAAACGTTTTTCCCTTGAAAAAAATTGTCACAGCTTGAATGTAATCTGCTCCCTCGCTTCATTTAGTATACGGTTCTATGAATATGCAAATGAGCCGCGCCTCCGTCCACTCACTCAGCACATAGATCCACTGGTTGACGATCGTTGATCTGATTGGTTACAAGGTCGTTTGTGACGTCAGAAACACCAGCGATAAGGAGGAAATACTCAGCAATGCTGTCGACTTATGAACTTACACACGGTGTGTCTTAAAGCGTATTAAAACACCACATAAACAACATTAACAGTTGGATTTACACCACAAGGGGACTTTAAGTGAACTTTCAAGGGGTTTATTTTAAGATATTTTAAGCACTATTGCTAACATATATACGACTAAAAAATACCAGAAAAGTATCCCAAATGGCTTGTGCACTTTAAAAGTCTTCTGGAGCCATACATGTCATGAACACAAATCACCTGTATGGCACTTTCCCAAGTTCCTCTCCAGTTGTGAGTATAAAGAAATAGTATATCATTTTTTTTTTCTGATGGCATTGAAGAAAGAATTGGTCCAGCATGCAAAACAAAATCAATTTGATTGATATGATAACACCAGAGTGAAGGTCATCTTCTGATATTTTTGTTTAGTAATATTTACTTGCTCATTTGTTTAGAATATACACAGAGTAAAGCGTCACATGCTCAGATGCGTTTCACATGTTTCTCTCTGTTCGTCTCGTTGCATTACTTCTGTCTTTTAGCTTCTTTTTGGTGAGAAACGGACTAGTGAAGTCATGCGACTGAAGTGTTTCGCTGATGTGTCAGTAGATCTGCTGGAAAAGAGGATGTTTCTTCACGTCTTAGCCTGACGCCAGCAAACACACACGTCTCAGAGCGGGTTCACCATGTTTCTCTTCCTGTGGTGTGTTAAATGAAACGGTTGTGTTGGGTGTAAAGTGTAGGTTTTAGCAAGTCAGGGTGTGTTTCTAAGCATTTCGGATGTGCTGCTTCAGAGGAGAGTTAATACAGTCGTCCCGAGGGAAAAGAGTGTTTTCCGAGAGCTAATGAACCGAGATTCGGGAACAGAACAAGATGTTTTTAAACCGACTTCTAGGCCATTGGATCTTGACCTCTTTGACCTCTTGTCCACTACAATATTTAACTTCTAGTTTCTGTACATTATGTTTCACGATTGCAGAAGCTTTCAGAGCTGGATATATTTTTTTTTTAAGCAATGACTTTGGAAAACTTCTCAAAAATCAAGAATTTTTAGATATGGGCTTAACTACAACAAATTATTATTTTATTATAGCGCTGTAACGATTAATATGTGGGTGCACTGTGTATAATTTCGCTAGATAAGACCCTTATTCATCGTCTGGTGTCGTTTAAAGCCCTTTGAAGCTGCACTGAAACTCTCATTTGGACCTTGAACCGTTTGGACCCCATTGAAGTCCATTATATGAATGTTTTCATCAAAAACCTTCATTTCTTTTCGACTGAAGAAAGAAAGACGTGGACATCTTGGATGACATGGGGGCGAGTAAATTATCAGCACAAGTGAACTACTCTTTTAACCCAAAATTGGTTTTGTGGTCACAAATGTGTTTGTTTCTGACTTTCATGAACCACCTTGTTGCTGACATGACTTTAAAATCAGCTGTTTCTGTGTTTTCCAGTGTCGGTGAGCATGCGTGAGCGAGAGATGGCCGGGAACGGCGGGCAGATGAGCGTTCGGCACTGGACGCCGAAGCACGTGGGCCGCTGGCTGCGTGAAGAGGGTTTCTGCGATTACGTGGACCTGCTGTGCAACAAACACCGCCTGGACGGCACCAGCCTGTTGAGCCTGAGCGAGTACGACCTGCGCTCCCCTCCGCTGGAGCTCAAGGTGCTGGGAGACATCAAACGGCTGATGGTTTCTCTCAGGAAGCTTCAGAAGCAAAACGCTGACGTGTTGGAGGAGCTCGGCCTGACGTACGACGGACACTCGCCTCAGAACAGTGCAGGTGCTGCTTCGGATCATGATCCTGTCTAGATTTGAGCTATTTGTGTGTTTTTTGTAGTTCTGATGCTGTCCAGGGAGATTAATGGTGAGGCATTTACATTTACAGTACACCACACTAATTTAACCCTAAAACCGTAGTCTGGACAAATGTGGGCAAAATAGTTTTGATTTATTTTTAAAAAATGCTTCCCTTGATCTGAGCGGGACAAGACTTGGCTACTTTTCCTAAGTTTGCCTCCTGAACACACACACATTTTTTTTGACTCAATTCTACAATGTTAAGTGGGTGGAAAAAAACTCCTTCATCTTGTATTTGGGTCAAAAATGGGCACCCATAGAAATGAATGGGAAAAACTGTAATTTAGAGCATTGTAAAATAAGCCAAAATAATGACAGCAAAGTCACTTCATCTTTAGGTTTTAGCTCTAAGAACTTATTGGAATGATATTTTAATGTAGTTCAAATTTTAAAAAAATAAAACATAAAAATAAGCACAATTTACATAGAAAATATGGTACTTTTTGAAGTAAATAAATTCAAAAATACCCCCAAAATAAAAAAAAAAAAACCCATAAATCGATAGACAAAACTTTATCGAAGACAGTGACATAACATTTATAATAAATACAAATTAGGATCATTCCTCTGTGCCCACATTTGTCCACAATTACAGGATTAAGGGCTAGAAAGTGAATGCGGTTTGAGGGTTAAAGTCCCCTGTAATCAGTGTTGGGGAAGTTACTCTAAAAAAGTAATTAATTACTAGTTACTAATTACCTCTTCAACAGTGTAATTAGATTACTGTACTAATCACTCTCTCTAAAAAGTATTTAATTACTTTCAATTAGTTACTTTCAAAATCCCATATCAATCTCAACCAGCTGAATAATACAAGGTTAGACATGAATCTGTTTCAATTCTTTCAAATAAATACTATAAAATTGCATGAATTATCCTTAAACTGACCAAGGTGGAGAAGGTTACATTATAAAAACATACTTTTTAGCATCAGACAATACATTTTGATGTTAAACCCACGATTTTTTGGTGTCTGATCTCATGACATTTCACACTTTTTTCATCCATATTTTACAATAATTCATACAAATTTGTACGAGTGCGGTCGTAATATTTAGACACCTCATGAAATGCATACGAATCGCTGTGAGATCGGATTGATCTACACACAGTATTTACCTCAATTACATCAGAAGTAACTGTAATTAAATTACAGATAAATGAAGAGTAATCCCTTACTTTACATTTTCAAGGAAAAGTAATTAAATTACAGTAACTAATTACTTAGTGATTAGTGACACCCAACACTGCCTGTAGTCCATAATTTGAACTCACCAAAATGACATATAAATGTTTTTTCCCTTGAAAAAATGTCATCATGCCTTAAAATATCTTGAATGTAACTCGACACCCCTGCCTCATTTAGTATTCACGGTTCTATGAATGTGCAAATGAGCTCCGCCTCCACTCACTCACAACTGTGATGTTTTTGATGAAATAGTCGATGTGGACAAATACATATTTTAAAAACTGACTAATTTTCCTTGGATGATCAGTCTAATCAGTCCTATATTGAAGGATGTTTTACAATTAGACCATTTTTTCTATGTCGATCAGTCGTGTTTTAAAGAGGAGAACTTTAAAGGCTTTTAGTCAATAATTGTATCCCTTAAAAATCATCTAAATGACATATTTAAATGTTTTTCCCATGGAAAAAAAGTCTAAATGCCTTAAAATATGTTGAATGTAACTTGACACCCCTGCCTCATTTAGTATTCCCGGTTCTATGAATATGCAAATGAGCCCCACCTCCACTCGCTCATCTCAGAGATCCACTGGTTGACGATCACACGTTCGAGCACTCAATCATGAAAATGATGATCGCCCTGACTTTAAAAAAATATATTTGTCTTTTTTTCTGAGTGCTCTGATTTGTTAGCGTTAGACAACATGCCTAAAAATTAAACCACAAAATTTGCATAAAAATAGGTGTGTGTTTTTAAATATCCTGTGTACTATTTATCTATTTAAATTATGCCAACCAAGTAAAGTCTGATGCAGGTGTAGTTTGTGTATTGTTCAGGTGGAGTGGACTGGTTGTGTAACGGTGATTCTGCGCGGGATTGCGATGCCGTCCTGGACACGATGAACGGCGACCATTATCACCAGTACAACAACGGCAAATACAAGCAGCAGCCGCGGAGACTGGACCCGGAGTACTGGAAAACCATCCTCAGCTCCGTCTACGTCGTCTTCGTCTTCGGCTTCACGTCGTTTGTCATGGTGATCGTCCACGAGCGAGTGCCGGACATGAGAATGTACCCGCCGCTGCCCGACATCTTCCTGGACAGGCGAGTTTGTGTGCAGATGTGAAGCCTGTGGGTTTAGTTAGTACAGATTTAGTTAGTTATTAGTCATTTTATTATATTGATGTTGATTAAACAACATATATTTATGTTGACAAACACATAGTTTAACACATGAACTCCTGCAAAAGTTAGTCGATATGCATTTATGTGATCAAAAATACAGTAAAATCAATAATATTGTGAAAAATTACTATTTAAAATAAGTGCTTTTAATGTGAATATATTTCTATAGCAAACTGTAATTTATTCCTGTGATCAAAGCTGAATTACTCCAGTTTTCAGTGTCACATGATCCTTCAGAAAGCATTCTAATATGCTTATTTGCTTTTTTTTTTTTTTTTTTGGAAACCATGATAGATTTTTGTTACTTAAATGATTGTTAAAGTTGCATAAAACCAGCCAATCACATTGTAGTAATTGATTTAAGCTTGCATTTTTGTCCAAAATGTGCATCACATGGACGTATGAACCATTTTAAGACATTCCTAATGGAAAGCATGTTCTAAAATGTAGAAAATATAATTATTCCTAGAAAGGCAAACTATTTTGAATCTCTTAATGCACTACAAAATATAAAAAAAAACATGATTTTCCAGCTTGAATTGGTTTTGATCATTTAATAAAAATCGCTTATTTGTGTATCTATATTTGTATAACATGCGAGCTGCGTTTCCCAAAATCATTGCGTTCACTGTTCTCTATGATCAGCTGAAGCTCACGAGGCTTCTGGGAAAATTCTGCTCTGACTATATTTAAATTAGTGCATAAAATATTTTGAATCTACTTGATGACAGAGGCTGTTCGTCTAATTCTGTGATTCCCAAACTGCAGGGGGTTCGTGAGTAAATCGTTTATTAAACCATACAAACGTAAAATTAACTTTACCTACGTGTGAACCCTCCAAAAACGTGAGCTAAGGGTCGTTATAAGGCACAACGTTTCAACAATTGCATCTAAATCTCCTTTTTAAGCTAATTCAGGGCAAATACATTAATATTGAGACTAAGAAATCTAGTTGTTGAACGGAGATCCTGAACCTGTGACACTCATTTGATTGCTGATGATTGAGGTTTATGGCAGCAAAAATAACCGTAACGGCTCTTGTTTTGAGTTGTACCCATCAGACTTTGAGGTTTGTGGTTTTCTGTTGATGATAACAGTCATACACCACAGGAGATGGTTAGAGGACACAGCTGAAGATGGGCATGAACACACAAAATTGCATCTGTTTGGAAGGGGGTTTGTGTTTTCTCTGCTTGACCTTTCGCCTGGTTCTCTTCTCCCTACAGTGTACCCAGAATTCCCTGGGCTTTTGCAATGGCTGAGGCCTGTGGCGTGATCCTCTGCTCTATTTGGCTGCTAGTTCTTCTGCTTCATAAACACAGGTAACCCACACGTGAATAATCCACCATAATGAATAATCCACCTTGCATATCATTTTTGCATAAATACTTCCTTGTAATCCAGGTTAAAATGCACACGTACGCTAGTGATGAAACCTTTGTTTCTGGTGAACACGTGATTTCAGTAACCGAGGCTTTGTTTTCTATCATGTGAACCCACGAACCAGTGGTTTAAGTTTTATAAACGTGTAGATATTTTAATGAGACATTTGTCAAATAAATAATATAAAATATATAATATAATATAATAATAATAATATAAAATATAATAATAAATATTTTAATAATAATTAAAATAATACTTATTATAAAGACACTTCATAGCTAATGGTATTAAATGATTTGGCGATTTAAAATGCTTTCATTAAAACTTTAAAAAGCTGTTTTAGGCATGTTTACTCTGTTCTGACCAGCATTTGGCGTTTCAAGCGCTTCAAAATCATTTTACGCGAGTCGTTTTGAAAAAAATCTTCATTTCTCCCATCACTAGTGTACGCAGTATGATTTTCTACGATTTTACACAATTGTCAGGCATCATAAAATAATTTTAATTTCAAGTATGTGTGGTTTGGGGTCCAAATAAAGTCATTTTAGAGTTGGAACAAGTCGTTATATTTGGCTACATTGTCTCCTGCATAATAATATGCACCAAGAAATTGTACACAATAAATGTTGTGTTTTAGAGACATGAGCTGGTTTCTCTTGAATCGTGAAGTTTACATGGACCCCTTTTGTTTCAGGTCGATCCTGTTGAGGCGCTTGTGTAGTCTGATGGGGACGGTGTTTATGCTGCGCTGCGTCACTATGTTTGTGACGTCTCTCTCTGTACCGGGTCAACACCTGCAGTGCACTGGGAAGGTACAGACACTTCATGATTTCATTCATTATTAGCTTTCCATCAACGCTGAGGTCATTGTGTGCATGCCATGTATACGATTAGATGTGTGTTTCTTGAATGCTACTTAAATCACTTGGGATGGAAGCACCTACCAAATGCATAAATGAAAATTGTGACGAGCTCAATGGGGAAAAATCCATCCATAAATGTTGATTAAACGTGTATTTCAAGTTTCAAATTCTTTGCAATACTGAAATATACAATTTTATACTGCAGATTATTATTTTGGCAGTGTTAGTTTCTGTATAGAATAAAAATGGTAAGTAATACTGTGTTTAAGACTCAAAGTTGACTTGAATTGAATTTGCTTGAATGTGGCTGTGAAACGATTAATCGCGATTAATCGCATCCAAAATAAAAGTTTGTTTATATTATATATGTGTGTGTTATTTTGTATATATAAATACAAACACGTGCATGTATATATTTAAGAAATATTTGCATTTAAATACTTTATATATATATATATATATATATATATATATATACAAAATGTATATTATACATAAATGTAAATATTTGATGTAATAATAACACATTTTTCTTAAATATATACATGCATATGTAACGTGTATTTATATACAAAATAATTATAAACACTACACACACATATATTATGTAAACAAACTTATTTTGGATGCGATTAATCGCGATTAATTGTTTCACAGCCCTAATATAAGAATTGTTTTTGCATTATAAATGTGAATATTGCTGTGAAGCGATTAATCGCATCCAAAATAAAAGTTTGTTTACATTATATATGTGTGTTAGTGTGTATAATTATTTTGTATATATAAATACAAACACATGCATGTATATATTTAAGAAATATTTGCCTTTAAATACTTTATATATATTTATACAAAATGTATATTATACATAAATATATATATATAAAGAATTGTTTTTGCATTATAAATGTGACGCAACACATTTTTTTCCTGTTATTATAATTTTTATTCTAATGACATTAAAAATAAGCATTAAACCGCACCAAAACGACAATCGCCATAGAGTTAAAATACTTTACAATTTTCTGATTGTCTACATGTATAATTACAGTAGTAATAACATAAATTATCCATAATTACATGCAACTAACCCTAAACCAAAGCCTAACCCTATAATGAGGACATGTATAATTACACTGACAAGGGCGCCTTAAAATAATCTGTGCAAACTCCACTGAAAATGAAATAATTTCCCCAAATCTCTGGATTAGTATGAATCTTTCCGTATGCATTTATTCGTCTCTCTCTCTCTTTGTGTGTGTGTCAGATATATGGGGACATGTGGGCGAAGCTTCAGCGTGCGGTGGCCATATGGAGTGGGTTTGGCATGACCCTCACTGGAGTCCAGACGTGTGGAGATTACATGTTCAGCGGACACACCGTCGTTATCACCATGATCAACTTCTTCGTCACAGAATGTAAGTGCGCACACACACACACACACACCCTTTGATGCCAGTTTGTTTTCTGAGGAGTAGGTGTGTGACGGGATAATTTTCATATCACAATAATTACTGAGGCGGCATCACAGAGGACTGACTTGCTGTCCTCATTACAGGTTTAGGATCTATTTTCATATAACAAACACCTTTGAGTCTGAACATTCAAATACGAGTCAAGTCGCCTTTATTTATAAAGTGCTTTATACATATATAAATACAATAGGACTATACACAAAAATGAATAGCAAATGTTTCAAACTGATTAAAGTGCAAAAGAACTACAAAGAATACGTTAACCGGCTGATATTCCTAAAATGCTTCATTGTAAAAATCGAAATAATTCATAATAAGGAATTATTACCGTATTATTCCGAATATAAGACAATGTTTTTGTCTTGGAAATACATCTGAAAAGATGGGGTTGTGTTATATCCGGGATCTAGACTGTGAATAATACACCCGCAACAACATGGAGCGCCGAGTGTTTCCCAGGACTGATAAACACAGCGAAGTCATCGAACAACTCGCATTAAAGGAGTAGTTCACTTTTAAAAAAACTTTTGCTGATAATTTACTCGCCCCCATGTCATCCAAGATGTCCACGTCTTTCTTTCTTCAGTCGAAAAGAAATGAAGGTTTTTGATAAACATTCCAGGATTTTCTCCATATAATGGACTTCAATGGGGTCCAAACGGTTCAAGGTCCAAATGAGAGTTTCAGTGCAGCTTCAAAGGGCTTTAAACGACACCAGACGATGAATAAGGGTTTTATCTAGCGAAACGAGCGTCCATTTAAAAAATAAATAACAAAGTTTAAGTTTTATAAGCACAAATGCTCGCCTTGCTCTGTTCTGTGATGCGCGTTTTTGACTCTCCTGTTCGAAATGAACGAATCTTTTTTCGAGTCATTTGGTTGATTCAACGAACGAAATGAACAAAATGACTCGAAAAAAAATTCGTTCATTTTGATGAATGAGTTCGAACGGAGAGTCATGATCACAGAACAGAGCAAGGCGAGCATTTTATGTAAAGCGCTTTGAGTGCCCTGAAAATCTCTATATGAATGTAACAAATTATTATTTATTTTTATTGTTATTCACATACCCTCTCTCTCTCTCTCACACACAGATACGCCGCGCAGCTGGAACTTCATCCACACGCTGTCGTGGGTCCTGAACCTGTTCGGGATCTTCTTCATCCTGGCGGCTCACGAGCATTACTCCATCGACGTCTTCATCGCGTTCTACATCACTACCAGACTCTTCCTGTACTACCACACGCTGGCCAACACACGCGCGTACCAGCAGAGCCGCCGCGCGCGCATCTGGTTCCCCATGTTCTCCTTCTTCGAGTGCAACGTGAACGGACCCGTGCCGAACGAATACTGCTGGCCCTTCACTCGCCCCACGCTCCTCAAGCGGCTCATACGCTGAGCGCACACACACTTGTACTGTGAATCTTGCGTTGCCATGATGTAGAGGAGGCCAAACCCCGACTCTGACCCCTCGGTTTAACCACACATCAACAATGCCGGGCTTTAAAGGGATTTCTGTGGCCGTTACTGTGGATAACGGCTCATTATTCTTATATTTTATGTCGGACACTAAAACTACTAAACTGGAACTATAGAAGTCTTGCTTTTCCCGCTGACAGGGAAACTCAGGCCTCTTAAAGTCGGCAGTATTCATTTCCCCTAGTTTCATAACAGTAGACGCTTGATGTCGTAAACTCCTCATTTCTCCCAAAGACATTTCAACATTTAAAGGAACTGACATGATCAACCTTTGAAGCAATATTGAACATCTTAATGCTCTGTAAAGATCTCTGTGTGAAACCGTATGGTTTTAATTCTACTATGATTGTTGCATAGGTCTTATTGCCATTTGTTGTTGCTATTTTCATAGTGCGGATTTTGTTTTGGCAGTATTACTATCTCTGTATAGAATGACAAAATGAAAATAATGTGTTTAAGACTTAAAATTGTCACCTGTGTTTGAGTGAATCTCACAAAATATGGCAAGGTCATATTTCACATACACACAAAAAAATATATAGACACACACACTATATGTTATATAAATAAATATATTTATATTATATATATGTTGTATACACACTTTTTCTGCAAAAAGAATATGTCTTTATACTTTATGCAAAAAAATGATTTATGGAAAAATTATTTGTAATATATAATTTGTATTTTTATGGTTTATTTTTGCATTATGACATTTATTTATTATGTTGTACTGTTCAATGGATATTCTAAATGGATAACCAAGACAGCAAACATTGCAAGGTAACACATTACAATAAGGTTCATTAGTTAATGGGAACTAAGAATGAACAATACTTATTCTGCATTTATTAATCTTAGTCAATATTAATTATTAAAATCAAAGGTTGTTAACACTAGTTAATGCACTGAACTAACATGAGCAAACAATCAACTACTGTATTTTTATAAACATTAGCAGAGATTAATAAATACCGTAACTAATATATTAGGCTACTCATGGTTAGTTCATAATAAACTAATGAACCTTGTTTTAAAGTGTTACCGATTGCAAGAATGTTTAAATAGTTTACAAATGTAATATGTATTATTTTAAAAGTAAAGTATGACTTGGACATGTTCCTGACAGGTTTTGTGAGATTCACTCTCAGATTTGTCGTCGTTTACTGTACATTTTTCCCATTTTTAAAGAGTGTTTTGAAAAGTAAATCTCGCCAAACTTTTTCTAACAGGATCATTCCAGTTGCCAATGGTACGCCTCTTAGTCTTTATACAAACTTTTGTTTCATTGATGATCTGATTTATTTTCAGATTTTCTGTTTATGAGGGTATTTGTTACTTTTGAACGTTTACAAAAAAAAGTATGTAACTGATGGTAAAAACAGAAAGATCTCGTCTTATCTCATGTCTTAATGGAAGTTTAAATGGTGAACCGTGTTTTATCATAATCAGGGCTAGTTTTGATGAGGTTTTCTGTGTTAGGTCATTAGAATTTTAATTTGGTGTATTTATAGATCTCTATGAGCACAGAGGATTGAGTGACCTCGAGTGTTTTGTAGAGATAAAGAATTCAACAGTGGTATTATAATGCTATTATCCGTTTAAAACGTCTCTTAACATTTCTCTTCTTTGAAGTGTGCAACACTAAATCAAAAGCATTAAATTACAGAAAACATTGGGAATGAGGCTTTAATTTGCCATATATTTAATATACATAATTTAAAAATGGTTTAAACACTCTGTATGCTGCGAGTATCTGCTCATCATCTGTAGATAATTTCACTGTGAAGTGCTTGAAAATGTCATTCAGCCTCTTATGGACTTTTGTTAAGGCTGAAAAAATGAAGGGGAATGGTATATTGTGTTCTGGTGGATACAAGTGAGATTCGGAATGGTCTAAATTTGTTTGTCTGCCATCATTAATAAAATTTACAAATTCAGAAAAGTGTCCTTTGTGTTCCCGTTATTTTAGGTTTTTAATGACACAATTAATTACATTAATACTTTTAGAATATAAAGTAAATGTCAGAAAATTAAATAGTTTACGGAAAATGCTGCTGAGGCTATGATTTAGGTCAGGCATTATTCGCGGCAGATCTCAGAGGTCCTGATGCTGCTGTTGTGTTAGCCGTTAGCGTTAGCATTACTCGAGTCTCCTTCATCTGTCGCCGGTGAGCCGTGGCCCGGTTCTGCTGCACAGGTTCGACCTGCAATCTCTGGTTAGTGCAGTTTAAACCTTTAAAACTCTCCTGTCTCTGCGTTTAATGCTCATGTGAGGCTAGCTGGGCTTCAAAATTAACAGATCCGGAAGGTTCGAACCGAAACCTTGCGCTCCTCCAGGCCAGGCTCGGTTCGGTTCGGTTCTGTCCGGCCAGAGAGTGACGGATGACCGGCAGATTTTGTTTTTAATTTATTTGCCGGTTGCGTATATGCTTGCTTATCTCTATAAAATTAAACTTTGCTATTAAGTTAGTCTCTTAATATGTTTGTGATTATTTTTTCTTCTATAGCTTGCTTTTATAAATAAAACAATTATATCAGAAATTATTTTTAACTGCTTTTTTTGTAACGTTACGTGTAACAAATATACATGGACATGTATTAACAATAATAATAATACATTTAGAATATACGGTCAACGTCATACGTTGTCTATTTAAAATAATTTATTATGTTCTCTAAATTAATTTTTGTTATTAGGCCTATAATTTAAAATCTAATATGTTCGTAATTAAGAAAATTACTGACAGCAGACATTTTGCCTTATTTGAATATTGTCCTCTAGTGTTGTTTTACCAAATAAAACCTAATCAAAATATTTCTGTTTATATAGTTAATGATTTGTTCTTGAATTCCAGTCTGATTGAGTTAATGAACTACAGACACTTCAGTGGAGATTTCTTTAAGACTGCAAGGGAAGCCCAGCTTCCCCTATAATGTCAAACAAATAATGATCAAATGTGTACTATTGTGTTAACATTTTAATGAGTAAAAATGCGTTAGAACACGGTAATCTCGAAGACGAGTTCGTTCAGAATAAGCAACAAATAGCAGGTCGGCTGACTTGATCTCCTTCTCATGCAGCGCCTCCTGTAGCCCGTCACAGTGCATGCTTTTTTCTATGGCATTTCCCCATTGAAGCTCGGCGTCCATTGATTTCAATGGGGCTGCTTTGAACAGTTTTTTTCAGTGCTGTTAAAGTAGACGGTCATTGGATAAATGCTGCGATTATGTCCCGCCCACGGACGCCGGGCGTCTCTGGGGTTAATAGGGAAGTGGGCTGGCCTGGCGTCCGGGCGTCCGCGTGATGATTGGAGGATTGCATCTCCTTTTGATTGACAGTGATTTCACCCAATAAAAAAATCGCTCACGCGGAAGCTAGTTTAAAGACTTCGTGCTCAGTCTCGTCGCGAATTTTGTGTGTATTTTACTCGAAAGACGAACTACTGTAACATATTTCTTAGTATTTGCAATTTTCATCAGATATTTCACAGTTCAACCTAATTACCACATTTCTTCCGTCGATGTCAGGTGTCTTGTTACATGTGCGGGCGTGGTGTTTGAATCACGGCACATCTGTCTAGTTTGGTTTCACTTTTGTGTTGGGATTCGGACATGCATTCTCCGCGTGTTTGTTTTCGGTTGTGAGTGCACAGGATATGGCGCTCGGAATGTTCCATTCGGCGACGAGACTGACAAGCAAGACAGATAACACACGTGAATACGTGCGTGTACGTCTCCATTTGTTTTATATGGAGACGTACACGCAAATATCACGTCACGTAAACGCGTCAATAACGTGTAGCTGTTGATCTATGCAGACGTCACGGCGGCGTCACGTTAAAAGTTTAACGTGTGGATTACGTCTGCACGTCTGCACGTCTGCCCGTCTGCACGTCTGCCCGTCTGAACGTCTGCCCGTCTGCACGTCTGCCCGTCTGCACGTCTGAACGTCTGCACGTCTGCCACAATCTAAGTTTACAAACAAGACTTATTTTGGCACATTTTATGTAGGACTATGATACACTTATTTTTATAATGCTGAATGTCTGGTAATGTACCATACATTTGGTATCCCAATGATGTAACTTTTTAATAAAAGTCTATGGCATGTATTTTGATTATTCGATCTTCGGAGATAAAAAAATAAAATGGGCTAAAAAAAAATTCAGAAAAACTGAGTCTTATCATTATATATTAGTGTGTTTCAGATGTGTTAATGCTCTGCAGCAAGCCAGCAACAGTCTGCATGCCTCAAGTTCACTCATGCTGCATCCAGCATTAATTAACCAGAAACCATTTTAGAGTTTATTGGATTTTAAACTAAAATTAGTTAGCCTGTGATTGCTTGGATCAGGCTACTGCTATTCTTATTCTGAACAAGTAATTAATCATTCAAATTAAAAAATGTTTTAACATAAATGTACTATTTAATAGAGCTACAACACTAAAGTTTTTATAAAGCCTATAAATGTCGTCTAGTCATACTACACATTTTTTGCTACCGTTGAGAGCATACAAAAATCTCGCCCAAGTCAGGCAAAACAGTTGACAGCCCATATAAATACAGTAAGAGGAGCAAACACTGCATAGTTTTCACCAGCAGGAAAAACAAACACTTTAAACAGAATAAGATGAGATGAACACTTTAATCAGTAGGTGGCAGCAGAGCAGCATTTATTTGACCATCTCCACTTTCTAAATAGGAAATTACTGACCCACAAAACAGTTTGGATTCACTCTTTCCATTTATGACAAACAAAACTATTTTATTTAAAGTGTGAATAGATTATAAAGAAAGAGAACAAAGTATGCTCTTTTTATTTAGCGACTGATGGAACTCCTGCGAAAACTCCTCTGATAATAAATAAATTGTCTATAGCCGACAATCAAACATTTAGGCTGTGTAAACCTCACACTGCTGGTTATAGCTATCCTGAAAATTGACATTAACTGTAAACTTATTCCTCAAATCTAGTTGTAATATTGCTCAATGATCAAAAAGGATGTTGATTCAGGAACATTGTACTTCATGAAATCATGTTCATCCATTCACTAAATCCCTTTGCACATACTGCCTTCAATGTCATTTTACAGTTTTTCTCAGTCACTTTGGTAGTTTCTTGAATCATCCTTAAGTTTTGCAAACCAGTAAATGCATTTCTCAAAATAATTAATAGCAGTCCATGGATTGCCTGCAAAAGCCTGTACCTCCTCAAATCCTTAGTTCATCTCTCAAAAGTGGTATTTATGTCAATGAACATATCAGTACCATTGAATAGTCCTTGTGTATTTGCTCACAAACAAGATATTCAAAATGCTTATTGATGTTGTCGATATGAAATTGTACTTGTTCAGTATTTCCCAGATATCCAGATGAAGCTTCATGAGATGCACCTCTGAGCTACTTCAGAGAACTGGTTGATCATTGGTTGATTTAATGCTTTACATTCCCCTTCATTGGTGAAATGCAAAATTTATAGCCAAGAAATGCTTGCTGTCATTAAAACATTAAAATGTAGCATGTCATTGGAACCAATAACGGCATATATATTTAGGCTAGCTATATTTCAATTTATAACACAGTCACTTTAAATTCACATAATGTTTAACTGGGTAACATAATTAGGAAAATATCAACCCGCAATATATGAAAATTAACTGCCAATTGAGACCAAAAGTTGAGAAAAAAATACCAAGTAAAAAACACATTTGTAAATATTTATTTTAATATTTCTGTAATGAGCAGTCTTTAGCTTTTGAAAAAATCATTAGAAAACCAGAATGCCTGTAAATAAACTATATGGTAAAGACATTTCACACAATAAAAAAAAAATTGTTCCAAACATCACCACAGCAGAACAATTGCAATTGTCTTAAAGGAGTAGTTCTGTGGATATTAAATATATAGCCTCTTTTTTTTTTTTTTTTTGAAAGAATAGTTTGAACATTAACCAGTAATGTCAATAGAACAGTGCCTTGCCGCCATCTACTGGCGGTTTTATATTTATAATTAGTAGTTTCATATTTGTTTGGCCGAGCTCCTTTATTTCGGGATTTAGGCTACAACTCGTTATAACGATTTTTTTATAACATAGAATTTCAGAATATAATTCCACCCACTGCCACTCTACTATATCTATATTTTTTGTATTATTGCCTGTATAGCCTATTCCCATGCTCGTGCATAATTGATACAAAACGAAATTCACTTTAAAGAAAGTCTTTCTACAAAACAAAACTTAATGAAGTGGTCAACATCATGTCTGACCCACTTGTCTCCCGTCATATCGCATCCTATATGTTGCTCTTACTCATGCTGTTCACTGTTCATAATCAACATAAATGAAAATTAAATAACAAAAGCCTATTGTAATATTTAGACAAATGTGAAACTGAGCGGATATTGAGCGGACAGTCACGTGAAAAGTAACTTGAAACTTGTTTTTAAATGGGAAGCACGTCTTGGTTCACCCTCCGCCTGTCAGAAAGATAGGCTATGCTATAGGATATGCTTTATTACACAAAACGAAACATTGAAACATTATTATATTTATAATGCTGTGGTCTAGTTTGTATGATGGACTATCTACTTCAGTAATAATAGGCCGGTGAGAAGTCTGTTTCTCAGATCATAATAAAAAAATACTTGGCCCCCTTATATGAAAACGAAATGAGCTAGGCTACAACATAGTCCTAACAACGATAGAAACCCACAACTTAAGACGGATCGCCATTCAGTCATTGGCTGAATAATAATAATTAAAAAAAAGCTGAATGGAGATAGCCTAGCTCCAGACGTTAAGACGTGCAGACGTTAAGACGGGCAGACGTCCAGAAAGGCAGTCGTTAAAACGTACAGACGTTCTCCACACGCACGTTAACACGTCTTTAAGCTTGGCTAGGAATCGAATGACACAAAGCGAGCGCCATACAGGATGACCTTATGGTCGTACTCATGCGTAACGTTAGCGTTCTGTCTTGTCGTGTTCGCTCTGTTCAGTGTGTTGTGTATTGTGTAGCACATGGTTTGTGTTTACATCGGCCGCGTGCTTTCATGTCATGTTTTGTCTTGTGCTGTGTAGCTTGTGTTTTAAACTAGCTGTGTGCTTTCATGTTGTCATGTTCTGTGTGAACACGTGTCTTATGAGTGTTCTCATCGTTCTTCAGGTCTCATTTTGTGTGAGCACAATTGCTTTTTAATTTGTTTTATTGGTCATGTGTTTTTGTCATGTTTGGTATGAGCACATGGCTTGTGCTTGTCATGTGTTTGTTGTGCCATATGTGCTTTCCTGTCATTGTGACTCCCATCTTGTTTCCTGATTATTAGTTATTTTGCCCCACCTGTCCTCCCTCGTTACCTGCCTTTTTTGCTCCCAATTTATTCCCCTTGGTTTTTTTTGTTGTTTTTATCAATAAAATAAAGCCCATCGAGTCCTCGCTCTTTTCACCATCCCCACACCTGACAGTCGAGTTTAAAAAAAAAGAAGAAAAAAGAAGAGCTTCCCCTCTTTGAAAGACCAGCAGCCGCCACTGAGACACTTGTATGTTTTTATAATACGGTGCTGTAATTATGTAATACAGTTTTGTATAGAAAACATATGTCTTTGTTTTCATAGATTGATAAAATAATTCAGTAAAATTAATGACATTCTGGAAATGAAAGGGACTGTTGGATGCATTGCATTGTGGGATTCTTTGTGAATACAGCATATTCCTGCAGGGCTTGTTTGTTCTGTACTGATCTCGAAGGTGTGTGTGTTTACTCTGACCACACCTGATCTAAGGATTCATAATGAAACTCTCACCACATGATCCAACCAGTCACAGAAACGTCTGTGGGATTGTTTTAGCCGTTTCACTTCCTATTCAGTTCCTCAACAACACATGATTTGAGGAATCGTTGATGTCTGGAGCACAAACGTTGCTGGACGACACACACTCGTGCTCCTACATGACCTTTTATGCAATGTGTAATAGAGCTGTTTGTGAATGTAAAAGGTCTGCAAAGTTTCAAAGATAAATTGACTCTGAACTGCTTGAAACGAGTCGTCAGTAATTCAGTCTCACTTCCTGCTGAATCTAGGTTGGTAACTAATTTGCATAATGCAAATCTCTGGTCTTGATTGGCTGGACGGCATCTTTTAGCCCCGCCCTCAAACACTGTAGTGTATCTGAGACTGGAAGAGTTCGGCTCGTGTTGTTCATGACCCACGCCAAAAACACGCCATCGTCACTGTTCGTATCACTGTGATCAAGAGCTGAGATTCACATATGATAATGAGCACTTTGATTCCAACCAATCACAGCAGACAGAGCCGAGCAGCTCTCAGAGAGGCGGGGTTTAGAGAGACTGAATCTGCAGATGAAGCGTTTCAGACGCTGAGAGAAAAGAGCTGATGCCGCAGTGTATTATGGGAATATTAAAGTGTTTTAGACCTTAAATGCATGTAAATATATTGCAGGAGACTCCAAAACAACTTTAGGAACATAATAAAGGCACTTTAAAACCTTTTGCTAGAGGTTTCATCACATCACTAACATTGTTTTTAATCACGTTTTCAGATAAAATGGCTGTTCCTCCAGCGTACGCAGACCTGGGAAAGGCTGCAAAGGACGTCTTCAATAAGGGCTACGGTAACGCTCTCTACTAAAATGTATTTAATTAATCTAAACATGCATATCGTGTCATATTTTCTTGTGTCTTTTCGAATGGAAAAGGTTTTGGAATGGTGAAGCTTGACGTCAAAACCAAGTCTGCTAACGGTGTGGTACGTGCTCAGATTTGTGTTCTTAATTGTGCACAATTCATCCATGATCATTATTTGAGTGTAATGACCTTACCTGACCTTACCTGTTGTATAATACAATATTGTCTCTTTTTTCCTCATCAGGAGTTTAAAACATGTGGCACGTCTAACATGGACTCAAACAAGGTCAGTGGGAACCTGGAGACCAAGTATAAATGGGCCGAGTACGGACTGACCTTCACGGAGAAGTGGAACACGGACAATACGCTGGGCACGGAGATCACCGTCGAGGACCAGGTGCAGACTTTATTTTTATTTCATTTATTTAACCAGCCAACTCACCTTAGAGCAAGTTCTTATTTTCAACGACAGCCTGGCCGGAGAATTGAGATCTCCTGAAAGATAAGAGAATAACTGTGTTATGGAAAAAAATGAATATGATGATTTTCAGGCCTGGAAAAGTGAATCCCAGTCAGAAGTTTGGAATTATTAAAGGGATAGTTCACTTTGAAATTAATTTTTGATATGTTTTATCTTGCCCAAGATGTAGGTGTCTTTGTTTCCGTGGTATTTTGATATTTTTCGGTCAAACCGTTCTTGTCTGTCAGTCATATAATGGAGGTCTATGGTCACCACCTCAAAGAGCATGCACAGAGAAGTCCAGATTAAACATGATTTAATGACTTGTAAATGGAAGTACACATTGATGCAGTAAAACAGTAAAATCATCTGTTTTCTATGTGAATATATTAGTCAAGTGTTTTTTATTCCTGTGAGCAAAGCTGTATTTCCAGCATCATTACTCCAGTCTTCAGTGTCACATGATCCTTCACAAATCACTCTAATATGAGGATCTGATGCTCAGGAAACACTTATGATTATTATCAATGTGAGCATGAGAAACTTCTTTAAAAACATTTTTAAATATCCCAAACATATGTTTTTATTGTAAAAAGATTGCATCACTTTCTACCTTTAACCCTTTCAGCTCTAGTGTCTAGCCGATTTGCAAATCTACCGTAAAATCCAAATCAAGTCATTTAAAAGCTTAGAATCTGGATTACAAATGACAAATCTTTTTGCACAATTTCATTCAAATCCTTTTATAATAACGATAATAGGAATCTGAAAACATCACACAGTTCAGAGATGTAAGATATCATTGGAAAGGTCTCGTCCTGTAGAATACAAGCACGTTTCTTGTATGCGATGGTTTTCCTATGAAGCCGTCGAACGCAGAGGTTTGTGCAGCTCTAATAACCGTATTTTGTGTTTCACAGATCACCAAAGGACTGAAGCTGACCTTTGACACGACCTTCTCACCCAACACTGGGTATGATGACTTAAATGCCACGTCTTACGTCAAGTCACTTTTATTTATATAGCTCTTTTTATAATACAGAGTGTTTCAAGGAGGCTTTACAGAGATAACAGGAAAATAATGCAACAAAGTTTGTTTCCAGAAGAACATAGCGTCACAGTCCAAGTTCAGTGATGGTTCATTTTTGTTTAATTTTTTTTTATTATTTAGTTAATTTATGTATATATAGCCACTCTGGAGTAAACCGTGATGTCATCGTCCAGCTCAGTTCAGTTCTTATATAATGGTGTCAATGCAGGCAGATCAATAATATTGTGGAATATTAAATGAAATGTCCCTAACTAAGCATCCAAAAGCCAATGGTGTCAAAGGTGACTTCAAGGGATAGTTCACGCAAAATGTAAACTCTGTCAGTAATGACTCTCCCTCATGTTGTTCCCCGTAAGACTTTCGTTCATCTTCAGAACACAAATGAAGATATTTCTGATTAAATCTGAGAGCGGTCTCACTCCTCCATAGGCTTCTATTGTAATTGAAACTTGCCGGAAAAGTTATTAAAGACATCGTTAAAATAGTCTGAGTGACTACAGCGGCTCAATCTTAAGTTTATCAAGCCACGAGTATACTTTCTGTGCGCAAAAAACACAAAAATAACGACTTTATTCAACTATTTCTGTTCTTAAAATTTAAAATCTAATAATAAAAGAAAAACTATTTCTGTTCTTCTGTGTGGGCCTCGAGTGAGTTCCCGTAGTGTAACAGCGCAGCGCTTCTGGGTCGTAGGTCAGTTTAAGCATCGTGAGCTTTAGATGTGGTGATTTTAACGTTCATTTGTGTTATTATAATAGCAAGAAGAGTGGCAAGGTGAAGTCGGCCTATAAGCGCGAGTACCTGAACGTGGGCTGCGATGTGGACTTTGACTTCGCTGGTCCCGCGGTGCACGGCGCGGCTGTGCTGGCGTTCGAGGGCTGGCTCGCCGGCTACCAGATGACCTTTGACACCGCCAAGTCCAAAATGACTCGCAGCAACTTTGCAATCGGATACAAGACGGGAGACTTCCAGCTGCATACTAATGTGTAAGTTCTGCTTAAGCAATCCATTATTATTTATTTAATAATCATATTATGCATAATAATCATATAATAATTCATATTACATATCAATTTACAATAATAAATAATTATTTATTATAATTTTAAGAATAGCTAAAAATAATATGTATGATTAATAACTAAATATTTACTAAATAATAATAATGAAAACGATTTATATTTACTTATTTTATATTAATTATAATAAATATAAATAATAATATTATATTTAAAGTAATAAAAATTATTATTATTATTTGTAAACCATAATTATAATATCATTAATAATTATTATTTAGAATAATCTTATAATAATGATTTTTAAATTAAATTGAATTAAATATAATTAATACATAACGTTATTATTTTCTACCTATTATAATTGGAAAGAATAATTAATGATGATGATGATGATGATAATAACTATAATTATTATTATTATTATTAATTACTTATTTCGAATAATTATATATATATGTGTGTGTGCGTGTGTTTAATGTGTATTTATCACAGTGTTTATGTTGATTTGAAACATATGCACACTCAAAACCATGATACAGCAATTGATCAGTTTCTGTGTGTAAAACTGCAGAGTGTTTGTGTGTCTGTGGTGTAGGAATGATGGGACAGAGTTTGGCGGCTCTATTTATCAGAAAGTGAACGATGACCTGGAGACGGCAGTGAATCTGTCCTGGACCGCGGGGAACAGCAGCACACGCTTCGGCATCGCAGCCAAATACATGCTGGACTCCAGCTCCTCCATCAGTGTGAGTGTCTCTGAGCCAATCAAAACTCAGATAATCTGGGCTTCACTAGAGATCTCCATGATGGGCTCTTCTAGTGTAGACAGCCGCTCATTATAAAAAGAGCAATACATTTTTTGTTGTTGCATCGCTCCACTCACATCTGATGTATGCTGCAGGTTCTTCACAGCTTTCCTCATATATATATATATATATATATATATATATATACAGTATATATATATATAATCCTGTGTTTCTGATGTTTTTGCAGCTGATCTGCTGGCGTTTACATTTCGATCATTTGTGGGATATATTTCACAATTTGAACTCAATTTTAATTTACTTTCACCTTAGGACCATTACAAATTACTTTTGAACTTTTAAATTTGCTTATTTATAGTATATAAATGGCTTTCTCCAAATAACTGATGGAAAATAAAAGTGAGATTGTGTTGTTGGACTACAGGAATCATGACTCTGCCTGTAAGTCATTTAACAGCATCTCTGTATTCCTCTCAGGCGAAAGTCAATAATTCCAGCATGGTTGGGATCGGCTACACTCAGACCCTCAGACCAGGTAAGTGTCTGTGTGTGTGTGGGAGTGTTATACGAATCGCTCCATCCAGATTATTTATTTAGTCTTTTTGTATAAAATACTTTTCTTTTTGATTTTGCAGATTTTTATTTTATTTTTATTTTGTCTAACATATTTAGTTTTAATATTGTTTTGTTTTTTTATGTTTTGTTTAAAATATATTTATTTTATAAATATATTTTAAATATATTTATATAAAATATTTTTTTATATAAGCATTACATTTTTTTGTATTTAATTTCAATTTTATTTTGTATAATATATATATATTATGCTTTAAATTTGTGTTGTAACATTATTATTGTTTTATTTCATATTTTCTAATAAGCAGTAGTGCAGCATTATTGTAACCGCAAGCATGCAGTGCTTTAATACGGACAGTGTTCATCATACTCTATATATGCAGCGTGAGCGCTGAAATGTATATCTGGGTAAAATATCATTAAATTAAGCATGATTGAAAATTAAAACCAAATAGTAAAGTATTTTTGTACAGAATATGACTTCTAATTTCTTCTCTTTTGATTTTGGGATAAATGTGAGTCGGACATGAGTTTGTCCCGTGCGACGCTTGCGTGCTGATGTGTGTGTGTTTGTGTGTGTGTGTGCAGGAGTGAAGCTAACCCTTTCTGCTCTGGTTGATGGGAAGAGCATTAACGCTGGAGGTCATAAACTGGGTCTGGGACTGGAACTGGACGCATAGTGTGTGTGTGTGTGTGTGTGTGTATCTCTGAAGAGTCTCATATCTCCTCACACAGACGACGGTCACACAAACATAACCGTCGTCTCTTATTTATTTGCACGGTCGATATTTCTCTCCAAACCAGCGCTTTCAATGTGTGTGCTTTTCTGTACGGGTGATTTTTTTTTTTTTTTTTTTTTTTTTTTTTATTAGCAGGAATACTTAACCAAAAAATGTAATTGTTATTATTTGCTCTTCCTCATGTTGTTGCAAACCTCTATGCTGCTTTATGATGACTTTCGACAAATCTTTATGCAGCTCTTTTCTATACAACTAAGTGACCAACACTGTCAAGCTAAAAAAAAAACACATTAAAAACACAATTTAAAATAATAAAGTCTTCTAAAACCTTATGATATCTTTGTGTGAACAACATATTGTGAAAAGAAATGACTTTTTGGAGCTTGACAGTTTTGAGCAGTTACGAACAGAAAAAGCTTCATAAAGGTTCACTACGATCAAGATGCTCGTAATACTCGCCCTGTAAATACTGGCAGAAGTCTAATGTTGGCCTGATCTTTTCCTTTACTGTTCCTCTGAATGTAAATGATGGTTTGCACATGAAGCTGCTGTGTGTGGTGTTCAGACGCTTGTGTTAGCTGATTTCTGCTGTTGTGCAGTTCTTCTCTCGCTGTATTCAGGCTTTATGGTGTTCGAACAGGTTTTCTGGTGAGATGTTTGGAGAGCTGACACACTCTCTCCAGAAACACTCACGAGGGACGACCAGAGCGTTTCCCTGCGAAACCGCACAATCACACCCGTGTGTGTGTCAAACCTTTGCAATAAAGTCCTTGTTTAACTACATTTCAAATTGTATGGTTATTTTATGATTCATGGCAACCTGTCATGACGAAATGCAGATAGCACAAGGCTGTTTACATCTGGAAGACGTATTTTAAACAGTGTTTGCTCATCTGCAAGACGTCTATAGGACGTTTCCTGCAGATGTCAAATAGACGTTTAGAAGATGTCTTTAAGATGTAATGATTTAGAATGCATGTTAAACTGACATCTTATAAACGTCTATTTGACATCTGACAGGAAACGTCCTAAATGTCTTGCAGATGAGCAAACACACTCTTAAAAATACGTCTTCCAGATGTAAATAGGACATCAAAATACCCTTGTGCTATCGGGGTATGGTTTTGTTCAGTTCGGCGAGACGGTCGAACCTCCTTAATCTCCTTACCCGTCGGCGAGACGGTTCGAAGGAGCCCGGTCTCCGATGGATATGTTAAGTTTTCGCCGAGATATTTGCATTTTCCCCCTCCGGATGGGCTTAGGGGGCCTGTATCTCTGGGGGTGGTCTCTTTCGAAAGGTCTCGGTCCGTTCTCCACTCGATAAAAATTTGGCGTCGAGACGTTGATTATTCTCCGAGATATTTGCGATTTTCATCCGAGCTCGTGGCGCCATTTCAGAGCGCGGCCGACGGTTTTCGGCTAATATCTCCGCGAATACTCCACCAAAAATGACGAAACCCATATGGTTTTGTTCAGTAGAGGTGTGCGATACCGCTAGATTTGGTATCGATCCGATACCAAGTAAATACCGGGCCAGTATCGCCGATACCAATACCGATACTTTTTAATAAATTAAGGTGGATGCCTCTTCAACCTAAATCTAAATAAATTTTCATGACTTTTGTTTTTGTGATTTGCATTTTGGGTTATTAATCAGTTAAAATAAAGTACTACAAAAGCTTTTGTTCAGAAACAACTTTTGGTTACTTCTGTTTTATTTAAACAAAGTTACGAAATTATTCACAAATATAAAAAATGTCAAAACAAATTCTCTTTTCAAGTAGCAAGTTAACAAAAAATGTTTCTCTTCTTTAGTGCATTTCTTTTCAGGATTTTTTTTTCTTAAATAAACAAAGTCAAGTTTTCCGTCTCTGATTGTGCTGCTGTAGACTAGAAATGCGCGGCCGCGCGCGCCTGACTGGTGGTAGTCCTGGAGCGCGCTAGTGGTGAGTCACGTGACGGTACAACACAGGAGAGGGGGACGAGAGCAGCACTAGAATTACAGAGAGCTTGCTCTGCTCTGTGACAGCAGCAGCATTTTGACAAACACGGTCAGGTCACAAAACGAGAGAAACTGAAACTTAAGTATCGATATTTTCGCGTTGGTATCGATCAATACCGATACCAACGTTGGTATCGATATTATCGATATTAGTATCGATCTGCCCACCTCTATTGTTCAGTTCGTCGAGACGGTTCGGAAGGAGCCCGGTCTCCGCCGGATACGTTGAGTTTTAACCGAGATATTTGTGTTTTTCGCCTCCGGGGGCCCACGAGGCTGGGGGTGGTCTCTTTCGAAAGCTCTAGGCCCGTTCTCCACTCGATAAAAAATTTGGCGTCGAGACGTTGATTTTTCTCCGAGATATTTGCGATTTTCTCCCGAGCTCGTGGCGCCATTTCAGAGCGCGGCCGACGGTTTTCGGCTATCTCCGCGAATACTCCACCAAAAATGACGAAACGCATATGGTTTTGTTCAGTTTGGCAAGACGGTTCGGAAGGAGCCCGGTCTCCGATGGATACGTTGAGTTTTCGCCGAGATATTTTCATTTTTCTCTTCCGGAGGGTCTTTGAGCGGCTGTATCTCGGGGCCCACGAGGCAAGCGGTCTCTTTCGAAAGGTCTCGGTCCGTTCTCCACTCGATAAAAATTTGGCGCCGAAACGTTGATTTTTCGCCGAGATATTTATATATCTGCGGATTAGAAGTTATCACAGTCACAGAGTGCATGCAGTTTTGGTCTTTAACCGCTAGAGGGCCAAAGGTGACCGTGTTAGATTTTAGTAATTTTGTTGTTTTTGTCAAACATGAACTAATACTGAAATACATAATTTACTAAAAACTTTGCTCAGACCTTTTTTTTGTAAAACTAAGATTTAAAATAATTATATTCAAACTGTATAAATATATAGGCATATATATTAGATTCCAGTGCCGTAATTTTTTTTTTATTGAAAAATTTAATACCACACATACATTGTACATTTACTTTTTTTTCTCGGTAACAATCAGTATTATGAACATTCGAGTACAAAACTTCATATTTATATGGTGAAACTTTAATTATCCCAGTGCATATCCTCAAACGAGCAACATGATTGATTAATGGTTTCTTTAGCGTGTAATGTTGGTTCATGTTAGATTTTGAACGCTAGCGTCAGGCCGTCACCCACGGGGAGCATGCTCAGGTTGACTCGCACGTCACGGTGGAGCTTCTTGTTCAGCTTATCGATGCTGATGGAGTCGACGTCGCCCTCTTCTGGGTTTACCACTCGACCACTCCACAGGACCTGAAGGAGAACAGCACTGTCATTCGGCCCTCCGCTAACAGACACGTCGGAAATCATGACGGGTTTTTTTTATTTTGCCTGAAATATTCCTTGCAATCACTTTTAAGTTGATTTAAGCTGATGACTCACATTATCTATAGCGATTATTCCTCCTTTCCTGACCAGCTGCAGGGATTTCTCATAGTAGTTGTCGTAGTTGACTTTGTCGGCGTCAATGAAGACGAAATCAAACGTCTCCGCTTGACCTGCAGCCAGAAGCTCATCTAATGACAAAAAACAGAAGAATACATTTTCATAGTCCACGTAAACACCGCGAAACCTATTGCTGCTCAGATCGGTTTAGTTTCGAGGTCGATCACATGCATGTTCATCATAACATCCTCAGCAAATTTCACATTTATGTTAGTGAAGAAAACAGGACGTTACTGTCACATGATCATCAAATACTTAATAATTGTACAATCTAAAGTGTTTACATAGAAAAGTGCAGTTTTAAAATGATGCATGTCAAGTTAATTGCAATTAACTTGAATCGCAATCTAAATGTTCACACTAAAGTCACAAAATAGAGATGCTAAAAAATGTATATTATTATTATTATAATTCACTTAAACTATTTTCGGTACGTGAAATAGACGTTTACTGAAACAAACAAACAAACAAACAAAAAAATTTCCAAAGCATCAATCTTCATTTGGTTTAACTTGATGTACAAAAATAACTAAAACTGGAATAAAATTAATAAAAAACTAAATAGAAATATTTAAAAAAAAAATATAAACAAAATGACTAAAACTGTAACTAAAAATAAAATAAATATTAGTAAAAACTACAATAGCATCTCAATGACTCTACTGTATACTTTCCACTCATTTTTTTGCTGTTCATCCCCCCAAAAAAAACAAAAAAAGCATCAGTGTGTCAGAAGTCATGTGATGTGAATGTAGTCTAAAGGTGATTTGGATGAGAAGAATTTCACAATGCTTGAATAAATCCAGATGTTACCGAGAGTTTGCAGCGCTGGCTTCAGACGCACGTCGATTTTCTGCTCAACACCAGCCTGAGAAGATTCCAGAACATCAGAGAACGATTATTAAATACATAATTATAATGTTTATGAACTGAAAATAATGCGATAGAGCCTCAAAGTGGTTAATATGATCTTACAAAAACTTCATTAATGATAATTCATAAAACAACAGTGCAGTGCAGAGAGTGATTCACTGAGAATCATAAATGATCAATTAATAAAAATCCCTATTTATAAATATAAATTAAAGTGACTATTCATTAGAGCAAACTGGGGTTAAACGTTGTTACATATTAACTGTGTTTAAAGTCTCATAAGTTTAAATATTAACGCACATAAAGGCGATGGTGAAGGTTTATGGTCTCTGATAAGAACAGATAAACTTTATTAACATGAACTCCAATATTAAACTATTAAATCCAGGATTTCCTTTTTTATTATTGAAAATGGCTCTGATAGTGAGGTTTATAATGATTATGTTTGCTTTTCATGCATTATTATTATTATTTATTTCACAATTTCAACATAAACTTGTGATGTTTGCATTAATGAGCAGGTTTGTTTTACTCGTTTTTTTTTTTTTTCATTACCTCAGTTTTGTTTATTCCATGTGTAATTTTTGCCTATTATTATTTAACTATTCGCAATTTCAACATAAAATTGTGAGGTTTGCATTTATGAGCAGGTTTATTTTCACTGAAACACCTCAGTATTTTGTGCACTTACACATAAAAATATATAAATATATTTGATTTGCAACATTAAAGCTGTTTTGGGGCTTTTCGAAGCCTAAGAAATAATAAACCAGCATTTATTATTATTATTATTATTATTATTATTATTAAATACAACATACAAATGAAAAGTAAACTACAACTGACGGCTTATCTTGTCTCATTTGATATTACTCACTCCCTTATAACTTTAAAAGTAACAAAACACAAAAAAATTATTTTTATTAACCTGTCAGATGTTACTCGGATAGTTATTAATATTGTGTTGTAGTTTATGAACGGTACAGTGGACCATCATGTGATAGGAAACCCTGAATGGTTTCAACAAATGTGGAAAAAATGAAAAGTTTCTTAATGCAATAAGACCAGGACCGAGCATTAAGTGTCAGTGTGATGTTGAGTGTGTGTGTGTGTGTGTGTGTGTGTGTGTGTGTGTAAATCACCAGCTCCCAGAAGGGTCTGCCGATGTTAATGAAGTCCTCGCTGACGTCACAAGCGATCAGTTTCCCGTCTTCAGGAAGAGTGAGAGCGATGCTCATGGCGTTATAGCCCGTGTACACACCTGAACACACACACACACACACACTGAGTTCAGCACACGTACAGTGTTTCACACAGTATTTCTAAAACACACATACCGATTTCAATGGCTTTCTCCGCTTTGATTAAGCGGGCTAGATTGGCCATGAACTGTGCCTGTTCGCAGGCCACCATGATCCCGTTCAGCTTGTGCTCCATCGTCCTCTGCAGAAACACAAACACTTGTTAATCACTCTTAAACATCTGTCTGTAGAGATACCTTTGAAATGACTTTTTTTAATAATCCATATTAAAGGGATAATTCATGCTTTTCATCTGAAAGAAGAATGTCATATATAGAACAGAATGCAATATGGCCGCCAGTGCGGATGTCGACCTCCATTGGCCAGCAGCGCCGACAAGACATCTAGCCTTTATTATGGATATCTATGGAGACTGTTGTCATGATGAGAGAAGAAGACACAGGAGGAGGAGGAAGAGTTTTACCAGCCGGAGTTTTTTGAGAGCCGGATGTTCCCGCAGGGAATTGTTCAGCAGGTACTGCATCACCGGATCATCTTTCCTTCCCACGTGGCTTTTGCCCGACGACATTCTGAGGAACTTAGATTTGCGTTTGCCTTAGAGAGAATAAATCAGAGAAAGAAATGACTTTTGGATATACTGTGTGTTATTTACACTAGTGTACATTTCATAAGACAACACCCTATTTTAATCTATATTTTTTTCTTTTTACAATTGTTTAATTATTATTATTATTTATTTGCAATTTCAACATGCAATTGTGATGTTTGCATTTATGAGCAGGTTGGTTTTCATTGAAATTACACATGCAATTTTATGATAATAATATTTATAAACCAGCATTTTTATTATTTGGGCTCCAAAATTTTGTTTTTAGGTTTTCTACTCAATAAAACAATACATATTTATTGTTAACAACTATTTTAGTTATACTTCGTTATTGTGTGCATTATCAAGGGAAGTCTTTCAAAAAGTGCTTTTAACAGAAGAAATTTCCCTTTAATTACAAAAGATTAGGGGGGGGGGGGGAAGTCAACACATGACATTTATTTTTCACAGGCAGATTTGAAAATCTATCGGCTCGTTTTATTTATTTTAATTAATTGGGAGCTGCGCCTTTAATTGCGGCTTTTTGAATCGAAGTACACGAACTTCCGGAAAGTTACACACGATTGACTTCTGCTTTAGTTTAGTTCTAAGGTTTCCTTACCCACATAATATCCCGCTATAAAAATCGATCCCAGCATCGCTGAGCCTATAAGCGCTTCTCTAGATAAATTATGAGATGACATTATTAATAATACAGCTGTCCAACTGAGGATCTTTACATCTGACTGAGGTGAGCGTGAACCAACAGACACACATGAACTCGGTTACCGTAAAACACAGTATATGAGCTCGGAATGAACGGGCTTGTGCTGAATGAGTGTTGTAATTGTTCTCGTAAAATTAGGAAATGTTTTGATGGAAGATGATTTTTGAGTAATATGAGGATTAAGGTATGCAAAGAGGTGTATTTGTGTAATAATGTAAGTAAACTCAACTGGTTTTTGTTGCGCTTAAACTCGGAGTATTACGTTACAAGGCGAGCGCCATCCAGATCACAAGACAGACACATGGATATTCTCCATTTATTATTTGTCATATTATTAAAAATCATTTAATGTAGGCTATTGACAGCCAGCGGTGGTGTGTAAGAATGTGTTATTTTAATGTAGCCTACTGTTATTTTCTCCATATTTATGTTTAAAATTCGTTTTTAAGCCTACACCGACGCGTGTAGTAAATAAACACGTAAACAATAATGCAGTGCTGATGTGCTTTGTATGGGTCATACATCGCGTTAAATCGCGTACAAAACCCGATGCATTGATAAAATAAGTAAAGTTCATTATTCGACACATGCATGAGTGTATAAACAAAGTATTATATCATCGATTATGTGCAGCTCGACAGACAGTATTCAGAAACGAAAGGTTATAACTCACTGTAACTTAGTAGTATGTGGTATATCTTCTCTGCTGCTGCTGATGATGATGATGATGGTGTTCTCCGTTTTTTCTGTAAAATGGCTCCACTTTTGGGGGAGGAGATTGTCAACTAAATCACAAATCATGAATATTAAACATGACACAATCCCTTTGTTTGAGAGCAAAGCTTTGATAAATGGATTAACGGTCAAGTCCAACTTCTGTTTTCATGTGTGTATAGCCAGTCATAGAAATTGCATTAAAAATTCATCTAATCATTCTCCTAATGATGAAGGTTAATGTTTTAATTAAACTCTTAAGGCCATTAAACTTGTAAAGCTTCAATGTATTAGTAAGTCGCTGTAGGCAAGCTTGAATCTGTGAATAAATCTAAGTTGGCTGGTTAGTGAATAGCATATTAGTTTGATGCAGATTGCATGTCTAAACTTAAGCCCACATTTAATCAAACATTTCAGGAAGCCAGTTTACTTACTGGCAGGTTCGAGAACCTGTAGTCAGTTTAATCAATAATATAATGATAACGATAGAGGATAGTTATTGTGAACTTGATGTGGCTGTAGTTCCTCATATTGACCAGCATGTGGCGCTCTACTCTAATACATCTGAAATAGGACTGACTGGAGGCTCAGCAATTTGCATTTACTGTATTGTGATCGTGACCTCTTTTCATTTGTTGATTCATAAGCAAAGCCTTAAACCTAAACTCACCTCACACTTATCCGTTTGCTGATACAATATCCGTTTGCTGATACACACCGATCTTTACATCTGAAAATGATCTTTCATATTTAGTAAAAAAGTTTGGGGTCAGTACATTTTTTTTTAGTTTAAAGAAATTAATACTTTGATTCAGCAGGAACTGAAAAAATGTATTGATTTTCTTTCTTTTCATTGATTAAAAAAGTATCACGTTTTCCACAAAAATATTAAGCAGCTCAACATTGGTATTAATCATAAATGTTTCTTGAGCATCAGATCATCATAATATACTGATTTCTGAAGGATCATGTGACACTTTTTCTGCTAAAAATTCAGCTTTGATCACAGGAATAAATTACAGCTTCAATATTCATATAGAAAACACTTAAATTTGTAATAAAATTTCACAATTTGTAGTGTACTTTTGATCAAATAAGTGCAGCAGAAGAGAGGAGTGGAGAGTTTTATTTAAGGCCAGAATAATGAATTATGACATAAAAATTTAAAGTAATGAGAATAAAAGTCAAAATTAGGACAAGTCAAACTTGACATCTAATTGACGTATAATTTCAATTTCAAAGTCATTAAGTCATAATTTCAATGTAGTACTTTTATGATGTTGAATATTCAGAAATAAATTACAGCTTTAAGCTTCATGGTTGTAATAATATTTTTCACAATATTTTTACTGTATTTTATACAGTATCTGCAAATAAATGCAGGCTTGTTGAGCAGAAGAGAGTCGTTGGTAGTTTTATCTCATGTCTTTACTGATCCTGCCAGTCCATCTTCATGAAAACCTCTGAGTAACACACTCTCAATCTCACCGACACACACTCGCGTCACGTGCCCTGTGAAGTCTGAGGACAGAGAGCATGATGGGAAGATCATCTCGGGTTCCTCTTAAAGTGCATGACGGCATTCATGCGTTTTAACGCTTGAACATTTTTATGGACTTTTCCTCTGGATCGACTTCAGAGACGCACATCAGAGTGACTTACGGGCCGAACCCGAGTCCGCAGCCCAGCTGGCATCCATCAGCCCAATGAAAGCGATAATTGGGCAACATCTTGAAGGCTGGTATTTGTAATTGAGTGGCTGGAGTGAGAGAGTTCAGCCGTATAAAGGCCACAGTAAGAGCTTTCTGCTGAGTTTAGCATGTGTGCGACACATCCTCTCTGATCTCAGATCAGCCACAGACACGTGTCTCTCACTGGAACCCAACAAAACCATCATCATCGACAGCCGAAGAGTCATAATTATGACAGAGAAAGATGATGAGGATAAAAAGGGATGAGTAAAAAGGCAAAGTTTTACCGACTAAATTGAAATTGACAAACATTATGAAATTCGAAATTGACAAATTTATAAATTGATGTAATAATGTCACAATCTTGATTTTTTTCGGGGGGGCGTTTTATTTCATAATTATGACATAAAAAGATGATGGGAATAAATATATGAGGATAAAAAATAAAAATTATACCAACTAAATTGAAAATGACAAAAAAAATTATGAGAACACATCAAAATTATGACATAGTAGTCGAAATTATGACAGTCATAATTCAGATAAAAAGTCAAATTGACAAGAAAATGATTGACAGCCATACTTTCAATTTATTATTATTTTTTTGTCATAATTTTGACTTATCTCATAATTATGACTAATTGTAATGCTATTTATGCTATTATTATTAGTTATATATTTAATATTTTGAATTGACTTTAATTTTATATTTTCAGTTTTCATTTTAGTTTAAGTTTTAGCCATTTTGTTATGTGTGTTCATCATTTTTTAATAGTTTTGGCTTGTTTTTTAACTTTCAGTTCATTTTATTTCAGTTTTAGTACTTATTTATTTAAATTTAATAATTACTTAAAATATTTGTTTATTTCAGTTAGTTTTCATCTGATCTTTCTTTATAATATTTATTCAGCTTTACTTAGATGAACAAAAAAATATTTGTAACCATTTTATTTTTACTAGTTAACAATAGACTTTTTTAGTGTTAAATTCACGGCCCCTTTTGATGAAACTTTGCCGTGTGGAAACTAATTTTCTAGCCCTTATTGTAGATGTATCTATATTGGTATAATATTAACATCATACAATTGAATTATGACGTAAAGGTCAGCCAAATGTCCTCCATAATGCTTTTTAATGTAAAAGTTCCAGCATGTCTGAGGTTTTTGACTGAAATGTAACTTTTATGGCATCTAGATGATGATGTTCACATCATATGTTCATAAATGAGTGAAACAGTGATATTTAGAGCAGAGGTCAGACGTGGCACCACTCTGCTATATTTGTTTTTATGATGCCATATCTTGTGTTTATGTGGAAAGCAGCGATGCAGAAGATTCATACGGCTGTCACGGACGTGTTATTGCCAGCAGAGATCAGATGAAGGCTTGCGTTTCGTCTCCTGTAGTTTCACATGTTTGCAGTGTTTCTGGAGTGAGAGGAATGGGACATTTACACACAGCACTGGGACACACTTTAGGAAGCGCATTCCTGATTATCTGATTATCATGTATATATATATATATATATATATTTAATGATTTTATTCAGCAATCGTAAATTCTTCAAAAGTGACAAACACATAAATAAAAGTACAAATGATTTATATTTTTAAAATAACTGCTGTTTATTAATCAAAAAATCCTGAATTAAAAAAAAATTAAGCACAACTGTTTTCAAAACTGATAATAATCATAAATGTTTCTTGAGCAACAAATCATAATATACTTATTTCTGAAGGGTCATGTGACACTGACTGGAGTAATGATGCTGAAAAATACAGCTTTGATCACAGGAATAAATTACACTTCACTACTTTAAATTGAAAACAGCTACTTTAAATTGCATTAATAGGCTATTTCACATTGTTTACAGCATTTTTGATCAAACAAATGGCCTTGCTGATCATAGCATGATAATAAGGCTGAGTAAAGGGATCAGTTTTGCTATTGTTGACTTGAAATGAATCTGAGATGAAGTGTAACGAGCTATGAAATCACTCCTTTCAGTCTGAGAGGAATGTGTACTGGTAACACACACACACACACACAGTCAGTCGATGCAATATCTCACTCCCAGAGAAACACTGGAGAAACAGATGTCCGTTCTCGAGCCCAGATTGATGCGCTGTCTTTCTGAAACGGTTGCATGTGTGTGTGTGTGTGTGTGTGTGTGTGAGGGACTGTCGAAAGCAGGCCTGAGAAACTCTTTGAGAGTCGACGCCAAACCTGATTTAAACACCTCAGTTTGGACTGCAGTTTCGACCCGAAGCACGAACTGGCACGACCCGCTGCTTTTAAATACTCTGGAAATTACGGTGTGTGTGTGTGTGTGTGTGTGTGTGGAGTGCTTGTTGAGACTTCATTTATCTTACTCACTGCACATGTGTTTAGAGGTAAGAGTTTCCATGTGTGCACGTGTTTGTGTGTGTGTGTGTGTGTGTGTGTGTTTGCGATGCATGGTGTATGTGTATCGGTCTCCGTCATTAATCTCCCGCGCTTAAAGCTTCAGTGGCTTTAAAACAACTGTGTAACTTTGCACGTTTCCTCGCTTCAACCAAAAGTCTTTCCAGACTGTTCCGATGAGTCAAGCATCGCTATCATTACTTTTGCTCATATTTCAT